AGCAAAGCATTTTAGTGTTTGTTCTAGGCGGCTCGGGGGTCCAGTAGCGCTTAGGGCAGCTTACCGGACGGCAGAGGCGTGGTGGGAGCAGGTAAGATGGTTAAGATTTACAGCACTGATGACGGCCGTTGGACAGGTGTTGTCGCCTGTGAAGGAGCCGCCGCCGCCGCCCGCCCGCCCGGCAGCCGCGCAAGAAGGAGCGACGAGCAGAAGGGGGGAGAGGGGCAAGGCAACGGCGGAGGAAGAGGATGGGAGGGGCTTGGCAGGTCCGTCTGCAGTCTGCAGGGCAGAGCAGGCGGTTCCGAGATGAGGGAGCGGTGCACGGGCCGCGGGAGTTGAGACGGAGCGACAGTTTCAGGCTGGCTTGAGCACCACGCGGCTCGACAAAAGGACCGCCAGTGTGAAGAAGCGAGAGTTTGTTGGCGAGGCACGAGCAAAAGGGAACTGAATGCGAGCAACCAAGGCACATGCAGCGGCAGGCGGGTGGGCAGATCTGCGCTGGCGGTGCATTGCCGTGGAGTGAGTGAGTGAGATGCGCTGGAGGCAGATGCATGCGCTGGACTACGACTGGACTGGACTGGAGGGAGGGAAGGTGGAGTGGGTGGAGAGAGAGGGGAATGGTGAATGGTGAATGGGCAGAGTATATTTAGACGGGGGGGTTGCCTGGTGGCTGAGGAGTGGCCGTCGTGGCCTCGGAGCTGGCCAGTAGCGGCGCGACTTGGCGTGGCCGCCGTTGGCGACTGCTGCCACGCTACCAATGACTGGCCCAGAGCCCGTCAATAGACGCCTGTCCGCTGCAGCGGTGCAGCAGTGCAGCGGTGCGCGCGTTGCGGTGAGGGCTGTGGCCATGCTATTGATCTGAGTGTTGATGGCCATGGTCATGGGTGGTATACTTACTTACTCACTCGATGGCTTGGTCATCATGGGTCGGTCATCATGGCGACAGGCGAGCGGCCATGATGGATGGCGACAACGGCCGCCGCGTGTGCGCCTGAAACCTCGCCCGCACTCGAGACGGGCAGGCATAGCACATACTTAGCACTGCGCACTTGGGCCCCAGCATAATACTCACCTACCCAACACGGACACGAGCAAAAAGGGCGCAGTAGGTCCTCCCAGCATAGGCACACGCACACGCACACGCACACGCGCACACACGCACGCAGGAACGGTGGCTCCTCCGTGATTGCGCATCAGAACCCAGCGTTTCAAAGTCTGCAGTCTGCATCCAGCGTCTGGCTTGGTGGCCAGGGGGCCTGCTTTGGGCCTAGCCCGATGCAGGGTCGCTGCTGGGTCGCTGCTGAGCTGCTAACCCGCCCTGTCTGCCACCCACGCCCCGTCACCTTATAGCGCCGCCCACACTCCCCACCGCCCGTCTCGCTCTCTCTCTTCTCCCTTCTCTCGCTGTGCCCGTCACTTTTCTCTTCCTCGCCCCCTCCTCCATCTCGCCCTTTCCTCTTCCATCTCTCTTCCTCTCTCTTCCGCTTCCGCTCTCTTCCGCTTCCGCTCTCTTCCACTCACCCTCCCCTCGCTCTCTTCTGCCATCCATCCACTGCTTCTGCATCTTCTACCTGTTCCGCTTCTTTGGACCAGCTTACCCTCCGCCTAATCTGCCTTTGTGTGTGTGTGAGAGAGCGCGCCAGTCCCGTCGCTCCCCACCATCCCTCCAAAAAAAAAAAAGAACCCGCCCGTCGACGCATCATCCTCAGCTTGCCTGCCCACTGATCCCGTCACGGCTTGTTCGTGTATTCACCTTCATCTACGAAAAAAAAAGAGAGAAAGAGCTTCCGTCGCCGCATACCTTGCAGCTTTTGTGCCCCTAGGCCCACCCCGCCTACCCGCTACCACATCTGCTCCTGCCTTCCAACCCTGCGCATCCCGCCGCACCACGCAGCGACCACAGCCTTGTTAATAGCTCCAACTGCATTGCCCATCGGCCGGTTTTCGATTCCAACCTCTACCTTACACAACTTCTGATCAGTACGATCCTTAATCCCATAATCGCCAGCCCCTTCGCACGTCCGCCCACCGTCGACTGTCGAGCTCGTCTGCATCATCTTCGATTCTGTATCCTTTCTCGTGTGCTTTCCTGCATACGCTTCAACCCCCTCAAACTTACAGCCTTACCCTTTGTTCGAACCTCTTTTTAGACCACCAAAATGAGCATGGACGCTGGCGGTCTTGCTCAAATGACGTACAACAACCAAAACAACAACTTCCAATCCCAGGCCGGATTCGGCGGGCCCACTGCCAGCTTTGCCTCGCGCGGAAAGGGCGCTCAGCTTAAGCGTCTCAGCGTTGCCTCGCCTCCAAAGGTCGCCTCCATCGCCGAGGACTCGATTGCTACCCCCCGCACCAGCCGCTCGCACCTTTTGGCTGGCCTTCGCACTGCGCCTAAGACGCCTACGTCTGCCCAGCCTCCTGCTTCTGCGCCCTATTCCCAGGCACAGCACGCCGTTGGTGCCAACAACGCTGCTAACAACAACAACAACAACAACAACAACAACCGCATGCCTAGGCAGCAATACAATGGTGCCAACCAGGGCGTTCCCCAGACGGCCATCGGATCCGGCTTCCGCGGTGTCAACCAGTTCCAGCAGCAGCAACAGCAGCAGCAGCCAGACTACTACAACCAAGTCCTGGCTCCTCCTTCTTTCGAGTTTGACGATGGCGAGATGGACCCCAACGTTGCTGCCCAACTCTTGGCTACTGAAATGTACCTTGCCCAGAGGCAGCAGCAGCTCCAGCAGCAACTGCTCGCTCTGACCACGCAGCAATTTGGCAGCATGAACATGTCTGGAGGACACGGCTATCCCAATACGCCATACACTCCCCAGATGAATGCCTATGGCCAGCAGTTTGGCAACACTGCTGCTATTCAGGAGACGAACCAGCCTGGTGTCTACCTGGTCTTCAACCAGATGACCGGCCAGTACCAGTATGTCGTCGACCCGAGCTACCAGCAGGACAATGGTGCCGTCCAGGCTCTCAACGCCATGGCGGGTATGTCCAACTCCCCGCCTCCGCCAACCCCGCGCTTTGCCGGATCGCCCCCCAAGGTTGACACCCCTGTCCTTCATGTGTCGCCTCCCAACGAGAGCAATCCCAGCCCCTGGGCCACCCGCAGCACTTCGCCTCCCAAGAAGTCCAACACCCCTCCCCAAGACGTGGTTCCTCTTCCGCCGCCATCCGCCAATGCCTTCCGTCGCGGACACAAGAAGAACCCTTCTACTCTTGCTGTTGACGCAAAGACCGAAGCTGCCGAGGGTCCCCGCTCTGCTCTAGCGCGTTCCGCTGGCTTCCCTGCTACCCCAATGACTGGTACTTTCGGTCCTGGTCAGGCACGTGCTGGAGAGCACCCTGTCCGCCAGCCCCGCAACCCTCCTTCGATTGAGGAGCTCAAGGAGCGTCCCACTACCAAGCACGAGGGTAGCAAGAACTTTGCCACCCGTCAACGCCGCCAGGCTGTGGGCAACCTTGTCCGCGCTGGTATTGGACGCCGTGCTCACCGCACCAGCAGTGGAAGTGCCTCTCCGGACAGCGAGCACTTCCCTTCGTCTGACAACGACTCGGACAGTGTCCGCAGCGGAGGCAGTGGCAGCCTTTCCGGCAGGCCCAGCATTGGCAGCCTTCGCGCTGTAGCCAATGGCGCTATTGGCTCTGAGCTCAAGGCTTCCAAGGAGCGCTCTCGCGACAACTCTATCAACCGCACCTACACTGCCAACAGCGTTAGCAGTGATGACGGTGCCTCTGTTGGTGGAGGCCTTGTTGACATCCGCCCAGAGGAGCGCCGCGGTACGCCCAAGCTCATTCTCACTGGCACTGAGAAGCGCAAGAGCCCCGTCTACTAGGCAGTTGACAAGAACCATTCTGGGACTCTGCTCCCTTGTGCATATTACTGTGGCGCTTTACCAAACGTGCTTCTTCACGGCCCATGACGACTTTTTTTTAACATCATCTTGCCCATTTGTCCTTACTGATTCCGTATCCCGGCCAAGGTCGAGCTTTTTTCATCATTCCAAACATCACGATTACCCTTCGTCTCTTCCTCACAGGAAGATCTTCTTTTCCCAACCCTTTTTTCCCTCCCTCCTTCTCGTGTTTATCGGACTGTTATGCGAATTGCTTTTATGAGCATGGTGGGCTCTGGCTTTTTTGGGATCGGCGACTTTGGTTTTTTATGCTTCACGGACAACGAACTCTATTGCCTGCGGCTAGAGATCATTGCGCTCCTTGGGCAAACCTCTTTTTTCTTTTTCTTGTGTTATCATTTACTTTTTCTAGCAACTTTTGTCCGTTTTGTTTGTGATCAAACTCGGTCGCTACTTTTGCGGCTATGGGTGGCCAAGGCGGAGAAAAAAACCAGAGATGAGTGAATTCAATGTAGAATGAGATTGTTCAAATGCAATAATCACTCGCTTACAAGGTGGCTGTCACTGCTTTTGGTGATGGATGATGTGATGCTGGGGCTGCACGTTCTTGCTGGTCGTGCTTTTCTCCATCTGTGCCCCCCCTCCCCAGCGATCATGAAGTGCTGATCCTCCCGGGTACACCCTTTTACCTGTGCACTTTGGGTTTTGCCGAGTTTGTAGGTTGAACAGGTCAGTCTAATTTCGGCACCCCGGGGCGTTTAAACGGTTGATCGACGCTGTCAACTTCGCTTGGTGGTTTGCCAATTGCAAGGGGGGGGGGGTGGAGATTGAATCGAGCGATCGTTGCAGGGCTGAGGCTTGGGGGGCTTGGGGCTTGGGGCTGTGGTTTGGTTTTGGTTTTGGGTTTGGGTTTGTCGCCAACGCGGGGCAGTTCACGCGCGACCCCCTCCTCCGCGACTTTTTTTTGTTCTGAAAAATATATACATATATATATATATACAAACTTCAACACCAGCAACATAATTATACCCACTCGATACATTTTGCCGTTCTCACCACGCAACTCATAAACGAACGAAGCCACATCCGAAATCCAAAAAAAAAACGCGCACACGACCACCACAAACTATGACCGAACCCCCCCTCGCCCCCCCAATCTCTCCTCCACCTACCCCCCAAACCTCACTCCCCCTTCACACCCCACCCCCTCCCTTCTCACCCACTTCCCTAACCCAAATAACCCAAGGCGCAGAAGCCCTTCTTTACCGCACCCCCTTCCTCACCGGCTCCACCCCCTCCATCCTCAAATACCGACCCCCGAAACCATACCGGCACCCGACTCTAGACCGGCGCCTCACCCGCCAACGCTTACTTGCCGAGGCGCGGAGTTTACTGCGAGTGAAGAAGGAAGGGGTGAATGTGCCTGGGGTGTTGGGTGTGGATGCTGAGGCAGGATGGATGGTGCTTGAGTGGATTGAAGGAGCCACGGTTCGGGGTGTGCTTGATGGGTGGGCCAGGCGGGCGGAAGGGGTGAAGCATGCGAAGCGTGCGAAGCTCGCCGAGCAAGATACACAAACGAAGGAACAGGGAGGGGAGGAGGGACCGCAGGGAAAGAAAGAAGGGGAGGAGGAAGAGGCAGCGCAGGGTGAACAGAAAGGCAAGGCCGGAGACGAACAAGACATGATGACAACCCTCATGTCCCGCATAGGTCGGGAAATCGGTAAACTCCACGCCGTAGGAGTTTGTCATGGGGATTTGACTACGAGTAATATCATGGTTCGCTCCCCGCCATCATTACGAGGAGAAGTAGAGGGGGGAAGAGACGAGCAAGAAGAAGAAGAAGAAGAAGAAGAAGCAAAAAGATTAATCCGCCACGGTACCATCTACCTCATCGACTTTGGCCTCACCAGCGCATCCATAGCAGATGAAGACAAAGCTGTAGACCTATACGTCCTAGAACGTGCATTCAGCGCCACGCATCCTGCAGCTGAGTCGCTTTTCACCGAAGTGCTGCGGGCGTATGGGGAGACGGGCAAAGGAGCAAGGAGTGTGTTGAAGAGGTTGGAAGGGGTGAGGTTGAGGGGAAGGAAGAGGAGTATGCTTGGTTAGGTGAAATGAATGCATGTTTTTATGGGATGATGATGATGATGATGGAAGACGATAGTGGGATACGGGGGGAGGGAGGGATGAATTGATGTTTTGAAACGACAATGGAGAACTATAGACTTCAATTTTCTTTTATTCTATTTTTTCTAAAGATAAAATAAAATAAAATGAATATAGAGACGACAAGTATACTTATATGTAGGTCGAAGCAAAAGATGTCAAACACGTTCAAATATACACCAAGTACTGCTAAGCCAAAAGATAAATAAAAATAAAATAGAATAACTACTCAAAACACTTTCAAGAACCACTTTTGGCTAAGATGGAACAAACACATCAAAAGTACACATACATATACACACACACACACCATATTTGGAAAAAAAAATAGGTAGTATATTGCAAAAAAAGCCTATCTAGGACAAGCAACAACAACAACAACAACCAAAAAAATACACTACAACCTCCCGACTTGTAAATTGAAATAAACAAAATCGTCGTGACCCGTTCAGGCCGAGGCTCGCTTCCCACAAGAGGTATAAAAAAGATATATATGCCAAACGCCATGTGGGACAAGATACATATCCCCATTTCTCTCGTACAACACTAGTTTGGCCCAGGGAAAACAAAAAAAAAACGTCCGGTTTTCACCTTGAATCCCTATCGCATATAAGAGAAAATAGAAAAGAAAAGAAAAGGCGATTCAAGTCTATTTAGTCGTCTTTGACACTAGCACTCGCATATCCATCATCCACATCAGACTCCTCCTTCTTCTTCTTCTTTGACCCCTCGGCCTCCACCTTCTTCTGCTCAAGCCCAACAAGACTCTTGCTTGCGTCAATACAGCTATTGACAATCTTTGCCCTGACCTTGTTCGACACACCACTCTTCTTGCCAGTCTCGTGACCAATCCACATGCGGAGAGAACTAGCAATCCTTTCGAGACCCCGGCTAGTGTCAGCCTTGAGACCATTGTCGGCCATGAATTGTGTGAGCACCTTGTGGGCGGCGACAAAGCTGAGGAGTGTGGTGGTAGGCTCGGGCAGGTAGGTATTGTTGACGACGAAAACAGCGCGACGACGTGCCTCGGGGGTTGAAAACGTGGATAGCGAAATGCACTTGGCAAGAGTGAGAGCCTTGCGCACGTCGGGTGCTACGAAGCCGTTGCCGACAATGTTGATGAATCCGGAATCGGCGGGCTTGGGTGTGGATGGGAGGGCCTCGAGAGCTGCTGCAATGCGTTCATCGCGACCATCGTCATGCACAACTGCTTGAGCAACAAGGGCACGAAGCTGAGCTTGCGAGTTGGGAGGTGCAGCTCGGTAGGCAAGGTCAAGGTCGGCCACAACGTTGGGCTTTGGAGTGCAGTTCTTGGTGGCGAGTACCGTGGCGAGTCCCTTGTTCAATACGAGGCTCGAATACCAGGCGGCAAGCGCATCCAAAGGCGAGCAGATGGCAAAGTCTTCTACAACAGCATCCATAGAAGTATCCACAGTAGTTTGCTCGGCGCTGGGCTTGTTCCAAGCAATGTTGTATGCACGCTGTACGACTGCAGGAACAAGGACATCGTCACACTCCTTCTCAATGAGCGCAGCAAGATGATCCGGCAGTGGTTCAATACCGCTATTCTTCTTGGACGCATTTGCAGCAATGCGATGCTCGCTTCGTGCCATGTTCCAGTAGCTGCGTGCCAATTTCGCGCTCAAGTCGTTGAGTGTCCACAAAGAGCTATGACCGATAGTGCCAATCTCCCAAAGGACAATTCGGATGTGCAAAGCCTTGAGCATGAGTCTCGCGGGAGTGTCGGGAAGGGTTCCAGAGGCAATGAGTGTAAGGAGAAGTCGGCTCTTGCTGATCTCTGCGTCACCACCGGTAAGTTGAGCATCTAGAGCAATCTCCCAGGCCTTGAGGCGTGCAGCTTCTTGTTCCCGAGTGGTTCCGGTGAGGTATGCGTAGCCTTCCCAGCCGATGATTCTGCGCATGCTGAGCTTCAGCGTCTTCAAGCCGAGTGCAGCAATTTCAAGAATAAAGTTGTGTTGCGGTACCCAGACTGTTTGAATAGCAGTGAGCCATGCCTTCCGGCGTACCTCGACAGGCGAAGCGAGTGGCGGTGCAGGCGACAAAAGAATGGATGGAGACTTCTTCTTGGGCTTTGACTTGAAGTCGAGCAGGGGAGCGACGAGGTAAAAGAAGGCACCGAATACCAAGAGCAGCTTGGCCAGAGGAATCTGAGCTGACGAAGCACCGAGCGAGACGCGAGGAGCAAGAATGCTGACCAGGTTGATGGGCAGAGCGAACAAGCCCCGGCCCTCCGGCTCTTCTTGTGACTGTTCGCGCTCAACGAGTCCTTCGAGTATCATCAGGCCGGCGAGAGATCCGACCATGAGCTTGCCCATCATGGCACTGCTGCGTCGTCCGTTGACCATGGGTGGGCCGACGGCTGGACGACCGCCGTATCCTGTAGGGTAGGCATGTGCGTAGTGTTGTTGTGGTGGCAATCCGCGTTGAAGAGCGGCAATGTTATCGGGGACAGGAATCATGCCTTGGGGTGGTCCAGACATGGACAGACCGTGTGTAGGCGTGAAGGGGTCATCGTGATACCTGTCAGATGCGCCACCTGGGCCGTGTATTGTTATGGGGCCGGATATGGCCATCTTCTCATAGCTCTCTACCCGGCCTTTCATGGTATTCAGCTCATCCTGTAGACGCTTGTTGCGCTTCTCCAGGTGGCGAATATACTCAGTTGCTTTGGATAGGACGGTGGCCTTGTTGAGCTTGTGTGCAGGAGTGAGACCTTCGAGATCCTCGGGGTCGTCGTCCTCTTCGGTGCCGTTTGGCCGTGACATGACACGCAGACTCGGGACACCTGACGGGAAAGTTAGCAAGTGCTTGGCAGGATGCGCTGGACGGTGGCCTACTATCGCGGAGCGCAGCAATCTTGTCGTTGAGGTTTGTCCGATATCGCTTCTCAATCATGTTGTGCGCAGTCTTCTTGGGTGGCGCGCCGCCCTTCTTGCTCGACGGCGCATCGTCGTCCGGCTCTTCGGAATCAGCCGATGACTTGCGCTTTCTCGAGTTGGATGGGGCGGGCTCTGGTGATGAATGCGATGACGTTGAGCTTGATCGGCCATTGTTCAGCGAGTTGGGGCTGTGGTGCAGACTCGGCGTAGAGTCTGGGGGCGGTGGTGCAGCATAGTTGGACTGTTGGTATTGCGACGGCGAGAAGAGGTTGGTGGTGTCTGGTATTTGTTGTTGTTGTTGCTGTTGTTGCTGTTGTTGCTGTTGTGATTGTTGTTGTTGCTGCTGCTGCTGCTGTTGTTGTTGCCATTGCTGGGCCGAGTAGTATGCATTTTGTTGTTGCATGTCGCCTGTCAGCGGCGAGCTGAGGTCAGAGCCATTAAAGTCAAACGATAGCGGCACGTCAGCGCTCTGGCCAAAGGTAAAAGGAACGGCGTGGGATTGGGCAAACATGGGAGCGGTGGTGGGAGTGAGGGTGGATGGTAGTGATAGCGGCTGTGACTGAGGAAGGTGGGTGATATGGGGTGATGTTTGCTGGCGGGTCCTAGGGTATGCGGCGGGCCCCTGTGGGTTGACGGGCTTGGTGTCCACGTTCTGGGAGTCCTGAGACGGCTGGGCGGGGTTGTAGTGCATCCACTCGTTCCAGTCGGTCGTGTCGTCGGCAGAAGCTGTGAGCGTCATGTCGTCGGCGGCAGTGGTGAGCCAAGGGCCGCGCATGGTGCTAAAGGGAAAGTCAGTGGAGAGCATGGGATCCTCCATGGTGGTGGTCGTGGTCGTGGACGGGCTTGGGTCCTGGGTGGTTGGGGCAGAAGCAGTCGGCTCGGGCTTCGGAAGCAGTCTGAAGTTGTCAAAGACGCAGTAAGGACCGACCTGGCAGCGCAGGGCATGTTAGCACAATGGTTAGAAGTGGCTGCGCCCACGGCGTCACGCACGGCGATTCGCTCCAGCTCCAGCCCGTCATCGGGGCTGCCATAAGGGTCAGAAGCCATTTTGGGGAGGGGAGACTAAGGAGCGTCTGCTGCGAAACTAAGGGACCGCGGGCGAGGACGACAGCAGCAGGACACGAAAAGAGCAAAAAACGATGGAGATAATACACGACGGCGTGTGCAACACAGCGGGCAGGAGGGAGCTCGGTCTTACCAGCAGCTGCTTGGACGATCTCAAATCATGCCACTCTCTCTTTTACTCTCTCGCAGACGATGCACACGGCGAATGCGGGCGGCGGCGGCAGATCCGGCAGAGTGCGCTGCTCTGCGACAGGTAAGGCAGGCTACGCACAAGCTGCACTCAGCTACAGAGGCTATGGGCTCCTTGGGCGAATGGCGAATGGCACTCTTGCGTCGAAATGGCATGCAGCAATCGTGCTACGGTTCCGGGAGGGTCCAGATGGCTTTCGCGTAAGGGAGGATGTTGGAGTGGTTCGACAAGTCGTACGATGATGGACAAGCGACTAGGGGGGGGGGAGCGAGCGAGCGCCCCACGGCAAGCGGCAATGCAGTACGTATCAATACCTCACCACCACGCCGCAGCTGCGTTGCCGTTCAATATCGTCCGCTTCGACAGATGCGCATGCACTTGTGTCCAGTGGGGATGGGTGTGGGTGTGGGCGTGAGTGTGGGCGTGGCTATGTATTATCGGCGAGCAGGGCGACAGCAGCGACAGAACACGGGCTGCATCTTATCTCTCAGGCGGGATCAGGGGAATTGGTCCTTAAGTTTGTCGCTGGCTGTGGTCGGCGGCGTGGTCAGAGTTGAGGCTGGCGCTGTGTGAGCAAATCCCTGTCTCGGCGGCATGGCTCTTCATCTAACCGGACACGACCGCCACTGGAGATGAGGCATCATGTGCATGCCTGCCACGTCCATCTCGATAACCGAGTCCTCGCAGCTCGCAGCTCCAGCTCGACTGCTGTGCCTATCCACATCCACATCCACATCCACATCCGCATCCACACAAACACGTCCGCCATCATAGCCACGGCCATGGCTGCGGTGACGTGTGGCGGCTCCAGCCCGGTCGATGCCTCAGCCATGGTTCGCCTCGATGCGCTTTCTCCGCGCCGGCCCAGACTATACAACACACGCCTGCTCGCCTCTCGCCTCCTATAAGCCCAGCACTCACTTGTACCCCGCGCCCTACTCCCTCCATCCACGCCCCAACCACTCGACTGCTTTTTGGCGTTTCACCATCGACACCATGGCCCTCTTACTAACTCTCCCGTCTACCAAACACGCCTGTGCAGAGCCAAATACGACACTCGAACCCTGCGTTTGCTGACATGTCGTCAACTCGGCCTTCGTCACTACCCACCATCCCCGCCCACTACAACATGACGGACCTATCTCCAACCCGCACTTGCTGGGAACATACCTCTACGCAACCCTCCGGCTCAATCACAATCTGACTTTCCATCAATCAGACGTCACAATCTTGCGTCATCCCGTCTGGGCACCCACCCGTTCTCGCCGTAGTGAGACGACCAACTGGTCTTTTTTTAGTCTCCCACACGATGCACTATCCACTATCCACCACATACGATTCTCTCAAGTAACATTTTGGACGAGAAAATTTCCGCATCAACGACACAGACTTGGCATCGAGGCCAGGCCGTCAAAGACACAACCAGAGCGCCCAAATGACATGCCACATTACAAAGCAAGCCCACATGAAACCACGACACAAACACCAAACCCGCCAGGTCTGCACCCTGTGCCCACCACAAAGCGCAATGCTTCATTTCGACTCCTTGCTCTCTGCTCGACCCTTATGCTCCCTAATGCCTCCTAATGCCTCAAGACTAGCACTGTGCCGAACCGTGAACAAGCACCAAATGGGGCTCCTCGTAACAAGAGATGAGTCAACTAGGAACAACATGGCAGAACCAGGTGCCAATGCGCACAGCTTCTGCCTGTAGAGATAGCAGCCTTGTCTACTGCCCAGGCAGCAAGCACATCCTACCGCTGCAACCCATTTGCCTGTCGTGGGTAACGGTGCATCTGTCACAGCTGTGTCCCATATTTGTCAACGGTCAATCCGGTCTACAATCCAAATGAATTGCGATTACCAATCTAATCAGTCTGGGGTTTGGGGGACGGCTATCAATGCAATCCACTCTGGACTTCCACATTGGATTGCATTGGTCATTGGCAATTATGCTGTGTCTTGGTGGAAAATCTGTGCAACACCCTCAGTCTTTTATGTGACCGCAGTCTTCCCTGTTTCCCCAAGGGAATGAGAAAGGTAAGGGAGATGCACGACGTAGAGTCCATCTCAACTGTGCCCGTGGAGAAAATTGTGATTGCTAAATTCCTTTTCTTTTGCGCAAAGAAAATCGCACATGCCCCTAATCCAGACAAGAATCACTCAATTCACAAAAACACAGGGAACATCCACGCATCATCCAAGAGCACAGTGGTAGTAGTGCTCTGAGTAAATGTCAGAGGACAGCGTCGCTGTTATGGTTGATGACACTGCTTTTCTTGCTATTGCTGCTATAGAGACTCACCCGCCGAATGGACTGGCTCTGAAAATGGATGGCGCTCAAGTGTCGTCTTCTTCAGGCGCAATTGACTCTTCAAGGCCGGGTTCCATGCTGCCCTGCGTGCCGGTCGGAGTCTGTACTTCCTGTCATCAAACACATCGTTTCTGCAGGCTTAATGTCTTATCTAAATGCTTGTTATGGGGTATGCAGACGGGTGAAGCCTAGGGGTTACAGTGTTGCAGTACCGCCTGGTTTTGCCCATTCGTGGAACGTGTCTTCTAAATTACTGTATTTTCTGTGGCAGCTGCTTCGCCGGATGAGGGGCCATTGTAATTTCTGCGTGCTGGGCGAGAGCCCTGATCAAACACATCGTGTCCTGTCCTGTGGCAGTCTTAAACTCATCCAGTTGCAAGTCCGGCATTTGAACCGGCACTTCAGTACTGCTCACTGTAACCTTCTCCAAGCTCAAGAGACACAAGAAACTGAGGCCAGACTGCCGGCATTTCCTCGTTCTCATTCTTTTTCCCTTTCCCTCTCTCTCTCAGCTCAGAAAAGAACCAGCGAAAGACGCTTCATGCTATACTTAGTACTTGAAACAGTGAACCCGTGAAACTCCAGGACCCTGAGAACCCCCCAAAAAGCAACCCCGAGAAAACGCTCCTTCCCGGAATCCACTGTTTAACCGCTCACCGCACCCTCTCCGTCAAGACGAACGATTCCGTCCCCCCAGACTTGACACCCATAAAATAAGAGCACAAAGTCAGGGGAACCCGTATTCGAACCACACCCCCCTCCAAGTTTCCCTGCATGCATAACGGAAAGATTCCCACCTGTCAGCGCAGTATCTCACGAAAAAAACACGAGGTCGTCACTCTTTACGCCCTATATGCCACGTACTCTTCCCCCCCTCCCCCCTATGTGACAAGTATGCGAGTCCCCTCGACGGCAGTATTTTCTTTCCCTTGCTCACTCTCCCAAAAGGGCTCACCGGAGAGAGAAGGGGGGTATAATTCATGACAGCAGAACACGAAGCAAGCCAGTTTCTGCCCTCGTGTCCCTGCCACGCCTGTCTCCCTCTCTGCTTCCTCTCATGACCTCGCTTCGCCCTTCGCTCACTGCCGTGCCTGTCTCCCCCCTCCTTTCCCCTCACTTCGTCGGTACGTCGCTCGCCCTCGCTTTTTCGCTCTCCGACCACCACCGCCGCATCCGGATGCCCAAAGTATGTGGAGCCCAAAGGAAACGAGTGACATTCCCGGCCAAGCACTAGTACCCACACACTGCCGCACAACACGTGGTTTCGATAACCTTCCGGTCCCAGGCTAAATTGGCTGGAAATCAGAGATACGAACGCCCAGCAGGCACCGGTCTTTTGCTAGTCCAAGATAAGAGAAACGATTAAACACACGGGGAGAACGGGGGCGATGTAACTATGTACATGTACGTAGATGGGGTCATCTGCACACACTGACACAGATAGTAGATACATCCTGTCTATTCAATAGTCCAAGCAGCAACAAGGTACTTAGTTAGGTAAATTAACTCGTTCTCACTGACTAAAAAGAATTAAAGTGAGGCTTACCCTCCTCATCCATCCCAACAAAGCAAACAAACAGGCCACACACCAAAAACGGCCCTACTATGCTGCTTACAAGCGTCAACCCTACACAACGCACGCCTTACCCTGCGTCTCTGATCGTACGTTAATCTCACACCTATCCTAGTAGCCTTTCCCTTATAGCTTTGAACCCTTACAAACCTTTCTTAACCCTGGAGCGCAAAAAAATGCTTTTTTTTCACGAGAAAAAAACGCCCAGGCGGAATAATTCCTAGCCCTTCCCAAAGTTCCCGAAGCCACCCCCAAGGTACCCGAAAGAAGGGAACCCCAAAAGCACATACACACAGACACAACAGATTGCGAATGAATTGCGAATGCACTGCGACCGGGGAAGGAACGGGGAGCAGACGGCAAAAACGCATAGACCACACCCTTATTTCGCCAAAAAAATATCCTAAAAAGAAAAAAAAGACGAAGCGGGATTGTTCATTACTGGGTCTGAGTTTACCGCATCGGTGTCCGTGTTCCTCTCTACCCTTTCTCAAATGCAAAATGCAAATCTTATTGGGTGTCCCTAGAAAATTCCACATCAGGCATCAGCCGCATACCGCCGTACACACTAAGAACCCCCACGCACACACAGACACAGACACAGACACACAGAGACACGACTTGCATAGCTTGGGGGGGCTTTGACAGCAGCAAAAAGTACGATCTGTACCCCCCGAATTTTACCTTAGCGCAGATCGAGACATCCACACACACACACCCACGCACACACACACCAAAAAAAAAACGCCTCCAAAATTTTAAACTTTCGTTTATTAACCTTTTTTTTTAAGCGTTCTTTTTCTTTGTTTTTTTCTCTCCTTCTCTCGCTCTCTCTCGGTTCCGAGTTTCCTCATCTTTGGAAACAAACTCATGTCAGAAAGTTTAATTTCCAAAAAAAAAGAGAGAGGCTTAGTTTGTTCGTATGCATGTGGAGATTGTAAGTAGTAGTGTACCGCCAACGATATACGATACAACAAAGTTTCGCTTCTCTCTCTTCTCTCTCTGTTCTTTCGGGCTTTCTAGCGTAACGGACAAAAATGGACTTGTTGTTTTTTTTGTTTTTTTTTGTTTTTTTTTTCATAAATCAAAGGTTTTCTGGTGGGTATATTGTAAGGGTTAGATGAATTTTTTTTAAAAAAATAACGGAAATGCGTGGGGCAGAGAGGCGGAAGCAGCGCCCACCGCGCATGTATGTATGTGTGTGTGTGTGTGTGTGTGTGTGTGTGTATGCGCGCATGCTCGCGCTTTTCGTAACTACTCGCTCGTGCAACACAGTCTGTATACGAGATTTTCTACTAAATCGATTCGAGATTTTGAGTTTGGAACCGTCGGATGGGAGTATATGCTTTTTTTGCTTTTTTTGATTTGTTCGTTGGCCTCTTTTTGGCTTCTGGTGCTCCGCGCGCATACGAACTCGCAAAGACAGACACACACAGAGAGAGTATGTATGTGTGTGTGTGTGTGTGTGTGCAGAAAGCGGTCAGGTACCGACTAGCAACGAAACACGATCGAACCAAGCCAAACAGGGGAGGCAGTGCGAAACTGAAAGTTACCAAATATCTGCATCATTAACTCTATACTGACTACTTGGTTTTCGTATTCTGGTTTTCTTGGCCCCCCCCCTCCCCCCATTCCACTCATCCCGCCCATGCCCGCGTGCGTGGAGTCGTTGCTGATCAATGATCTTCAAGAGGGATCTACCCTTTTTTTTTGCGGCGAAAAAGAGGCTTCACCCGTCCTTGTGATCCTCAATCCAAGGAGGGCTAGATTTGTGCAGATGCAGGTATGGACAAGCGGTTTAGCCGCGTCTGGCATTTCCCCCCTCCCCGTTTTAAGCGTAGAAGAAAGGAAAATCTGCTTGTGCAGACAACGGGTTGATGTTAGGCTCTGTACGGTAGAGGGAGTGACGAATCGGTGTGGGCAGCGGTTGAGTGTACATAGTTTGGGCTAGAGAGAGAGAGAGAGAGAGAGAGAGAGAGAGAGCTAGACAATTAGACAGAGATAGAGATCGGCTCGTCCCCACCTCGCCCATCGTATTCCCACATGTATGCATCTGCATCTGCATCTACGATGCGTTTTCCCAAAATACCAAAGTAGTTCAGAAAAGTTAATCAGTTTCACACTCACCCTGTGGGTCATAACCATTCCTACATACTACCTTTCGCTGGCCAGCAAGGAACCGAACCAGGGCCCCCCCTTTCATGTTCTACTGCAGGGCAAATCTAAATGGCCCTTGGATAGCTCTAATGGTCCTTCCCGGGGCCTCGTACGACGTGGCGTTCGAGAACCTGCTTCGATAGGTGATTAAAACAGAAAAAAAAGCAAGACACGACCTGCAGGACAGAGAGAGGTCACACACCGGTTGGCCAACAAAAGTCTAGCTTGGGCGGCACACGGGCCAGGGTGCTTCAGACAAGCCTGGGATGCAAGGAGTTTTGTTAGTAAGTCCCAACTTACGAGGTCATGGGGGTATGAGTTTTTGTGTGTGTGTGCCTAGTAAGCAATGCCGTTGGTTTGATGAGGTGGTAGTAGTCATTGCACACTTTTGGGAAAGGCCGAATAGAAACTGATGCCGAGAGTGAGATCTGGCTATGGGTATTTTGCGTCTGTCCTTTGCTCGGCAAAAAGAGCCGACCAATCGGCGAGCGGCATGGAGTCGGGCTTGCCGCTTTAACACGGCACGGCCGCCGGCTGACTTAGCAAAGCGTTCAAGCGCCAGAACCAGCCACATGGTACCTAGCGTGACCGTGTTGAGAATCAATTGATGACGAGTATGGTGGGGGGGTTGTCTCGTGATGAGCCAGCAAAGAAGGGACAATCATTCATACCAGCACTTGTGTACGCAATGTATGTATGCACCCATGTACATCTTGTATGCATCTGCTTTGCATACCATGAGATCTTGATGGCCATCGTCTTGTGTCGGGATTTGCCGCATGCGAATAGACTGACCCATGGGAATTTGGTCTAGAGGGGGGCGAAATCCGATGTGGGGTAAGCTCCGCCGTCAACCGAAGCGGGACGATCCAGAAAACTGCATGTCAGCCCTGACTTCGAGAAAACAAGCGAAGAAAAGAAGCAAAGAAAGAAGGTCGAAAAAATTACACTATGCGCATGGAAGCACTGTGACCAAACGTCCGCGGAGAATTGAAACGCAAGGAAAATCTCTCGGCGGTGATCGTTGCAAGCATAACTACTAGGTTTTTGGTTCGACGCCTGTGCCTGGACATGGACATAATGTTCGTGCATAACTCGCGTTTGATGTTTGGAGAGAAGATCAGTAGCGTTATGGATCTCCAAAGGCTCGAGTGTTTGCAATTACAGTTGCACCGCTACGGTCTCTCTGTTAATGCGTTTCGCTTGTGAGATCCTGCTACTAACCCATAGATCTACCCTCAAGACAAATCTCACGATACCCGGTACACTAGAGATACACTGCGTTGACTAGCAGCGCATGGTCCTCTGACCCATGTGCGCGCTCCCTTGTATTGTCGCAGGTAGACAGCTTGCAAGCATCCTGTAATTTTTCTGAGTAATCTGCCCTGCAAATTTGCACTGCTTTTTTTTTTCACATGTGTGTAATCAAGCAGAGATACTCTTGCGTTGCTTTCGCATTTGCACGTGTTATGCCAATAAAGGAACACTGCACAGTCGGTGACGATGGCCATCAGATAAGGCCATGTAGCTGTTTGGTTCACCCAGGCTTCTGCCTAGCGATGGATATGAGTGCAGCAGACGATAAAGTACTTGTGTTGATGACAAACCATGCTCTAGGGGACAATTGCGCTATTTGTTTTGAAGCAGAGATTCCAACAAAGGCCACTGCACAAGTCTGTTTCCTCCGCTTTTGCATAACGTAAAATGCAGTCAGATTTCATGCCGTGGAGCGAGTGCAGCACGGAAGCTGCTGCACGATAACCAAAAAGGGTGTCAGGGCTGCCCCATATTTTGCCATAGGCGACTCCGGTCCTGGCACTTTGTCCCCCCAGCACGACCGGAACGCGTGTGCCGATGACAGTCAGGTAAGTAGGGTCCTCCCGAAACGGGCGACCTTAAAGGTTCCTTCGGACATGCAGACAGCGATAAGCTGGTCATTTCTGCGACGACCCATGTTTCCCTCACCCAAGAAAGGCGACTGTATCTATTTCGATCAACAATCTCTCACTGCATGTCACCAGGAGTCGTGGGGAAAATGCGAATTCCACAGTGGAGCCTGTTGAAGCGCTGTCCAACGTTGCTTTTTTATCCTGCCGCGCTGTGCCATGTGAAAATCGTCACGATGCAAGCTCACGGCGCCTCCACGAAGCTGAGTGCGGGTGAGACGATCATAAACCAATTTGAGTAAACGGCCGAGGAGGATCATCAAGCAGGCCCAAAGTGGACAGGCGGATATTCTCGAAACACAGCTCGCAGAAGGGCAAGGGGTGCACCGACAGTCGTACGATGCAATATCTTTATTGCATCCATGTCGCTTAAGCAAGAAAGCGAATCGGGAACAGTGCATTAAACCTTTTTCGGGATACCGCCCACTAAAACTGGGTATCAGATACGTGTGAGATGAAAAGGGTGTGACCAGCGTTAGATCGAGATCGCCGCCAAGCGAGCGAAGTAACTGAAGATCCTGAGTCAGATTGAGAAACTATTACCGGGGTCTTCTTAACATCATATTCCTGTGGTGTGCTGACAGGGTTTATCTGTCAACTAACATCGAGTTTCCTCGGCTGCGACAAGTTCTCGGCATATGTGCTTTTGGTAGGGATTCGCCTCATCTGGCGGCACACGTGAAGCATGCATGGACCTCGCAACTCATTGTCAATAGGGTTTAAGGACCCCTTGCGGCGGGTCGACAATGACCCTTTTGGTCAGCTACATGATGCCTGGATGGTGGCAAGATGCACATTTGGATTTTCTGTCCGAGAAATGATGCGAGTTAGAAGGGACACGTTTACAGCTGCCGGAACCGTGGCCGCCGAGCGGTGTCGTAAAAAGTCAGCGAACATGGAGCCCAATCTGTCAAAGACGGCTACGCGGAGGAGGTAAGGCACCGGTAAAATTGCATCTAGTTTCCTCATGCTGCCAATCTTGTCCGAGGCCGGATTGCAGTTGCTTTCCAGTGTCGTGTATGCAGGTCGTTAGCACCATCGTAATCGCGACGAAATTCGTATTCTTGGTCTTGGTTGAGCTCAAAGTTAGCATCATTTTCTGGCGTATCACTTCATTCACATGAAGCCAGCAAGCCGGATTCCACGCCAGTATCGATACACGCAAAGCATGCCCAGACTAGACAAGTCGACTCATAGAATTAGCAGATCAGGTCATGGGCTGTGCTTTTCGATGCACATGATTGGGGGTGTTGATGTGCGTGCGCGACAGGCCAATAGCTGAAGGCGGGTTTGTCCGAGGCACTCCTGCAGGGCGAGCAAGATCTTGTCGACTTGTGCAATGACAAACGCGGGTCATTTGAGTGTTTTGCGAGTCTCATAGATATGCGTTTCGAAACGCTTGGATTCCCGCCATGACCGGCATTGAATGACAGCGGTCAAACGCTTGCGCATAAATGGGTTTGACATAATGTAACAGTCCCGGGAGGCGTTTGTCAAGGGGCCAGTTGGTGCAAGAAAAATATGGTACCGACACGACAACGAATCGGACAGGCAAATCGGGCTGCGAGGTGCCGAGTGCAAAGAAGCAGCAGTATTTACCCACAGGGACCAGGGACGGGCATGTGTCCATAAGTACCATATGTACTCACACATAAGTATGCGGGATATATGTGTACTTATTACATATGTCGCCTGAGAGATATGGTTGGTAATACATAATGGCGTAAGCGAGTATTCTGCGCCGGTTCGACGTTGCAAGCCACCGGCGGGTGCGCGATGAAGCTTGTCGGGGTTGGGGGGGCACCATGGCACGGGCAATTGCGGAGCTGTAACTGTCATGACCGAGAGCACTGTTTGATAAGTGGAAGTAGCAGCAGGATAGCAGAGTTGTGAGACACGTATGACGGGCATTTTTGATGCATACTGTGACGAGCTGTGAAGATGCGTTACACTGAAATATTTCGGCACCCTGGTCGTTGTCCAAGGCAAAGGGGGGGGGGCGGGGCGGGACCATGGGACCGAGCGATATGTCTCCTCGGGCTGCGGTGGCTGTCAGCGCATGTGAGGCAGCTGGCGAGGTGGTTGGGTCGACTGACTCTGCCGCGGAGAGTTGGTGTGACTGCGATTGGACGTATGCGGGCATTATCGTCAGCGCGGGGGCAGGGCTCAGCCCTCGAGTAAGTGTAGCATGTATATATATGGACTATAAAGATAGAACATGCGAGGCAGAGGCAGAGATGGTCGAAAGGGTGGTGAAGACAGATCGGTCGTGGTTCCGCTAATGCAGCTAAATCGCAACGGAGACTTGTGGGTAGCGTGGTGTGGATGTCTGGGTCGGGTGCCGTTTTGCCTCACGGGCGTGCTACTGTAGGGCACGAGGGAGCGCACAGGCAGCAGCACGGGCTACTGTGCTATGGCAGATGCAAGTCGAGCCGGGATGGCGTGGTGCGACCAGCCCAGCGATTTCGCAGACACGTGCAGACGTCAACGGGCAAGTGCTTTAGTGCATGGTGGATCCATGGTTCGGAACGAGACCAGGGAGGCGTGCTGCGTGGGTGCGCTGAGAGAGGCGTTAGCGACGACTGACGTAGCGGCACAGGCCAGAGGTATCACCAGGCGCGACAAAGTGGCCTCATTGTGTACGGACAAGTGTAAGAGCCATCGAGTAGCAGGTGCCCTGCGCGCCGTAGCGATAATGCGGACGATAATGCGGACGATAATGCAATAGCAGCGAGCGGCATTGGGTGTTGCGTACAGGCGGCTCTTGAGTCAAAGTTTCTTGCATCCGGGCCGATGAGATCTCGAGGCAAGACGATGGTTCGTCGGCACGCGCTGCCTTGTCTGTCACGGCGATGCATGATGGCCGCCGCCCCGCTGCACTAATCGCGTTGCCACCGATTCAGATGCGTCGTGTGGGCATCACCCCTGGGCTGGCTGGAGATTCCCGAGAGAGGGCCATTGTCGGCGGCGATTGCTGATTTGCGTGCCTGGGGGGGAGGTTTACCTATGGGAGGTACATGTGTGCTGTGTCTAGTGTCATGTGTAGTGTAGTGTAGTGTATATATGGGGATGGGCTGACGAGGACGACGGGAACCCAGGATGCTGCCCTGATGGCGCGCGTGGCGGACACCTGGCTGGAAGAAGAAGAAGAAGAAGAAAAAAAGAGAGAGAGAGAGAAGGAGAGCAGCAGCAGACCAAACCCACCCGGCAGTGCCGGCACAGCGACCGTGTACACATAGAGGCGCGAGCTGGTGTGCGAGGCGTTCGGCGGCGTGGCGCGCACTCTTTTTTGTGGGTATGGAGTGGTGAGAGGATATGAGTAGTCGAGTGTGTCTGTGTGGTGGCTGTCACTGTCTGCTGTCGCAGCCAAGGCGAAGCGAGGGGCATGAGCGGCATCAGTGGGAAGGCCGGCTGCATCTCGATTGCATGACTGCATGCCACGGCGATAATTTGGCCCGTGTCCGCGGGGGCGTCCATTCGCGCGGATGCTGGTCGCGATGCTGGTCCCTGGTCACAACGGCTGCGGATCGAGCAGAAGCAAGTCGAGGGTGTGGAAGGCGAGGGGGGGCCTGTGGCGCTGATCGATGGCCGCCCGGCCGGCTGCTGCTTTTACGGCCATGTACACTACTCGACGGCGCGCAGTGTACACTGACACTACTTAGCTGGCAGGTGTAGGGGGGGCGATGGCGGGCAGCAGATTCCATCCGGCCAAGCGTGGCCAGGATAGCCATTGCTCGCCGATGACTTGGGAGCGTGTGCGTGCTTGGGTGGTGTGCTGGGGTCTTGTGCTGGGGCGCTGGGGTGCCGCCCTCCTCAGTGTGAGTGTTGCAGCTTGAACACCCACCCATCGCCTTCTCCACCCGCACCCTGGCCGTGGCAAACAGACGTGCCGTAGCCCTTCCATCCCTGCCTGCTCACTGCACTCTCGCGTCACGTCCTAGACGACTCGCTGCCGCCGCGCTTCATCTCCGATCGTATCTGCTTTAGCCCGCTGCACCTGGTCTTAGTTCTTGTTTCCGCTCACCCCATGCCGGTGCCTGCAACCATCGACAAGACGCGGCATTGCGACCAGTAGCTCACTGTGAGATCACGGCTTGGCCATCTGCTCCGCTCCAAACCCCATGCCACACTTGCCCACCTCTTCCACACATCCTCCACCTCCGCCGCCAGAACCACAGCTCCCACAAGGTCCCTGACGCCGCCCTGGCAACTGTGCTGAGACTCGCCTCGCCTCGACTCGCCCTGTCCACTCCACCTACGTCAGCCACGTCGCTGACACTATCGCCTGCACCTGCACTCTTGACTCTGCCTTTGCTCTCGCTAACAACGCTCCTTGCCCGTGACAAAAAGGTGCCCGCCTTCCAAACCGTGTGCGGTTGAGTGGAAAAACAAAACACGACAAAAGAGAAAAAAACCCGTCACAACAAGCAAAACTTTGCCCCAGCATCAGTCATTGGAGAGAGACCGAGAGAGAGAGAGAGAGAGAGCAAGAGAGAGAAACAGAAGGGGTCAACGTAAAGAGCGTGGCAATCGCACAAAAAAAGAAGACCGTCGTCGACTCCTCCTCCAGTAGTACCGTGTGGGTTTGCTTGGCTGCGCTTGTCAAGGAAGGAACGACTCCAGGTTCTGACGCCTCCCAACCTTGTGCAGCAAGGCACATGAACGCCGCCGGTCTGCCATTCCCCACCACCATCACCACCACCACCACCACTCCTTTGCAACATCTACCTGTCGCATCTCCCAACTAAAACCTTACCACCGCCACCCACGGAAGGTGCCGCTCATGATGGAAACCCTAGACGCTGGCAGCAGACAAGCGTACGTCATCGTCATTCCCCTGGCCTCGCCATACAAGTGCTAACCACAGACTGCAGTGTCGGCCTCCCCTCAATCAACCACATGGATGCCGAGAGAGTCAAGCGCGAAGAGGCTGAGTACCAGAGAAAACACTCGGCCCCAGCCATGCCCAGCCCGATGCATCCTTACACTGGGCCATCGCATTCACACAGCAATCCCCAGCCCTCCATCCCCAGCGCAGTGCCTGGCTCGCTCGGGGGCTTGCTGTCTCCTCCCGAATCGCGCAGGATGTCTGGCGATGACAAGGACTCACAGCGGGCGCCTGCCCGCCAGTCCTTGCCATCCATCCACGAAGCCCTAGGATCTGAGCAGCCGCTCTCATATCCAGCTACAGTGCCTCCGCCCTCTTCGATAACATCCGCCCCCCAGCATTACCATTCATCCTCTGCAGCTCCTTCACCGGCCGAGCAACGTCCGCGAAACTACCCACCAGAGCTCCAGCACCCCAGCCAAGGGCCACCTAGCTCTCTGTCCCACCCAAGGAGTCCATACATCGCCTCCTCAGCGTCACAAACAGGCCCTCCACCCCCTGCACCAGCTCCAACAGACTCCCTTCCTCGCCCGCCCTTCTCGGATCCAAGGCCGCCATATTCAACCCCTCAACACAACCCGAAGCTACCTTCGCTTCATCCCCTCAAAACTGCACCTGCCTCGCCTCCAAGCGCCCCACATCCCAGCATCCCTTATTCTTCGTATCCTCCGCCAGTTTCGAAACCCTACGAGAGCCCAGCTCCTCGGTCAGCACCGCCCATGAGCCAGCATCATCCATATTCGCAATATCCTCCTAGCTATGCCGTGTCAGCTTCGACTACCAGCGCGCCAAACCCTACATATCCCCCAGCAACATCCACCTACTCTGCCCCGCCTCGCTATGTGCATCAAGCGTGGCAAGATAGCGCTGAAATGGCTCGTTTGGAAGAAAAGAAGATTGGTCGCTCGAGTCTGGCTCCGTACGGCGAGTCCGTAAAGCGTCATTTGGAAAGCTTCGACATCGAGGCCTCACTCAACGAGATGGCTGACGGATCAGGGCGCATTGCAGAGTTCTCAAAAATCTACCGCCAACGGGCACACGATAACCAACGCATTGGCATGACACCACAGTCAATGCCGAGGTTGGAAGAGGTTGACGAGATGCTAAAGCAAAGCGAGAGGATTCAAATGTCCCTTCAACGCATGCGAGATGTTGTTTTCAATCACCACCAAGCAAGCCTTGTGGAAGCCCCACAAGATCCTCGGTATAGGCCCATGAACGGCTACGACGACGGTGGAAGCGGTTATGGCGATGACAACAAGGGCATGGGTGGCTTTACTGGTGGCGACAACAAGACCAGGAAACGAGGTGTAAGTAGCCCCCCCTCCCCTGCACACTCTCTTAACATGTGTACTGATTTCATGAGTAGCGTGCTGCTCCACCCGGACGATGTCATAGCTGCAATCGTGCCGAGACACCCGAGTGGCGGAGAGGGCCAGACGGTGCCCGAACCTTGTGCAATGCTTGTGGCCTGCGTAAGTTCAAGACTGTGATGCAACTACTCGTCATCAGCTAACCCAACTCATAGACTACGCCAAGTTGACTCGCAAAATGGGGGGAAAGCAAGCCATGACTAGTTCTAACCTACGACCTAAGCCCATAGAGCATAGCTCACCGACGATATGAACAACGCCTTGTCCTGGACGCACGAAGCATAATCTTCAACAATTCTATACCCATGGTCGTCCGTCACCGGCCAGCATCTGTCTATATTGACGCTTTCCAGCGACTTAAAGATAGTAGCACATATTTGCCATACTTTGATGACATCCGGACTGCCTGCATAAAAAAAGGGGATCTTTATATTACTATTTTTTGTATTCATTTCGCATTTGCACTAGCGGCATTTATTCGACGAGTCTGTCTTTCTAGAGACGAGACATCTGTATCATTTCCAAAGGGGTTGCAGTATCCTTATGTGGATTTCACGACGGAGTTTGGCATCGAGACGTCATCGCCGACTACCACTTGGATGGAGTAACGAGCCACCAGCCAAAGGTTGTTGCACTCCAAGCTACAGATGGGGACCATTCGTCGGGGCTGACACATGTTAGCTATGTCATGTTTGTCTTTTAATAGCAGCGGTTGCATTTTGGCACATAGACAGGGGCTTTCAGGCCTGTGAACTGGTGGACGGCGTTTTCTGTACATGAGCATCTGTTAGGATGGCTCCATCATAGGACGGGAGTTTTGTTGCGCAAGTAAGCGCTTATCGTCGGAGGACAGGATTGTTCTTCTAAGCATTTTTTGCACGACACGCGCTTTGCTAGAAGTGCACGAGGCCTCTGGGCAGTTTTGACTAGCGTTTGCAAAGAGATACCACAGGCTCTTAGGCCCACTCCAACTAAAAGCCTTTTACTTATCCACCAGCCATGTTTGTCTCCCGTTCTGTTTGCAAATCAACGCAGCCAGTCATGTCATCATGGCTTCGAGTGATGGAAAGGGAGGGGTAAGGGGTGTGTGGGCCGACAGATATTGATGCATCCATTCATCCATCCATCCCTCGCATGACGGCAGTTGCCTCTCTTTCCATCTACGACGCTGACGCAGGCCCATCCCAATGCAAATATTGCACGTTGCGACAATCAGGCAATGGTCTCCACTTATTTCCATCCTATGCCAAATAACCGTCGTTCGGGGTAGCCCCTTGCAATCTACTACGTACGAAGCTGCAAAAGACGTGGACGCAGTGACAAGGCCCTAAGCTGACGAGGTGGTGCCCAGGTCAGCACAACGAGTACGGAAAAGATCCGCTTGCAGAAATCATGCCACTGTGGCCCGTGGTAGTTACTACATATGTACATGTATCGACGAGATCTTTTCTTAATATGGGCGACGAGTGACGAGTGTGCACGTGAGTGCCGACCAACAGCAGGCAATGCGACGCATCTGGCTGGGTAGGACAAAAGAACACGCCATGCCCTTGTCGTGCTCCTAAGGCTCGCTGTCAGTACGCCCGAGTAACGTTGCGCAGTCCAAGATCGATTGCGTGCACAGCAGCAGCAGCGTGTCTTACAGTGGTGAAGTCGGTCTATCTCCATAGTACTAAGTAGTCCATGTTCTGCTCAGCCTCCCCAAAACGGCAAGCGTCGTTCGGTATTAGATCCTTCTTCTTCCGAAGCGGCATGGGCCTGCTGCACTGCACCATGCATTATTAATCCATTCGTTTTCCGAACCCCTAGTCTCGTACTGCAGTTCTACACTGGCCATCTGTGCGGGAGGGAAAGAAAAATTACACTCTCCTCTCCATTGTCGGTCAGCGACGATCCTTGGATAACACAGGAAACCGAGGGGTCTGCAGCCGGTGAAAAACTGCAGCAATCCTGGCTTGGGCTAACCCCCACTTAAAAGACCCAAGTCCTGCAGTGCCCGCCGAAGACCTCCCCGCAATCGCCGTTTGAGAGCCACAAGCCACCCATTCATACGCCTACTCTGTCTGCCCGTGCACCATCCCAGATTAAACCACCCTCTTACGACGCATTACGAAACTCGGGATGGGTCTGCTGTAAGATCCGTGCTACGCCACTCACCATCCTCGCTAATGTCATGTCAAGGGCCCTCGGAACGCCTCTCGACTGGCCAGAGGCCAAAAAGGCCGCTGATCAGGTCAGGTCATGGGGGATCCAAGTACGCATGCCTTGAGACCCTGAAAAGGACAAGTAGTAATGTCATAAACAGCAACTGCTTGTCGTATGGCGCAACGCCAAAGCAAAAGAGAGGGACGCACTCCTCTGGGGCGATGAGGTGACCACCATGTTTTCGTCCGTTACAGCATGTGAGACTGATCTGTGTGCAGATTGAGTATCTCGTAGTTTGCTACGATCAAGATAATCGCAAGGTTCGACTGTCGCTTCGCCAGGCCGATATTCTAGCTGCTTTGGCCAACGACGAGAAGCTCCTGCAACAAGGTGGCGGAGTGCCTGACCTGCAGACCGGGAATGCCGAGTGAGCCACAACATCCCTCACCTCATCTGTTTGTGCTAACTAGGACAGCACAAAAGACAATCCCGCTCCCGTGTTCCACCCCGAATTTGGGCGGTTTATGCTGGAAGCTACCCCAGGAAAGCCATGGGGAATTGGCTTCAAGGACCTGCTTGATGTTGAGCCAAACATGAAGTGGAGGTAGACAAGCCTGTTTTGATTATCCAACAGTCGTGTGCTCACAATTCCCACAGACGAGCAATAGCCAAGGACCACATGGCTGAGACTGAGTTTCCAATCACATTGACAACATTCCCTCGGCTTGGATCGACCGATTGCATCGTACCATCGTATCCTGTTTCAGGTCCAAAGCTGCGATCTCAGTTTGTTCCTGACGAGATTGCCAATCCCCATATCCGCTTCCCAACTTTGGCAGCAAACATTCGTTGGCGGAGAGGCAGAAAGGTACAGGTCAATGTGCCCGTATTTCGAGACGAGAAGACTGCATGGCCCTGGAAGGATCCAACCGTCAATTATGACTTGCACAACTGGCCCGAGGACGATGATGTCCGCAATGGCGCTGCCCAAGACAACTACATTCACATGGATGCAATGGCCTTTGGTATGGGAAGTTGCTGCTTGCAAATCACCTTCCAAGCAAAGAACATTGAAGAGGGCAGGACTATGTATGATCAGCTCAGCCCGATAGCCCCGATCCTGCTGGCACTGACAGCAGCCACTCCAATCTACAAGGGCTTCCTCGCCGACACAGACGTACGCTGGAATCAGATTAGTAGAGCGGTCGACGATCGTACTCCAGAAGAATTGGGAGAAAAGGTCAGTTAATCTCTTCTAGTGTCTGACGAGTTTCTGACTTTCAGCAGCCCCTGAAGAACGATAGGTGGCGGCTCCCCAAGTCTCGCTATGCATCCAACTCAACCTACATTGCTCAGGATCCCCGCTTACGGCCAGAATACCTTGACCCAAATCTCATCATAGACCCCGACCTTAAGAAGCGTCTGGTTGAAGGGGGCATGGATGATTTGCTAGCGACCCACTTTGCTCATCTCTTCATCCGGGACCCCATTGTTGTTTTTGCAGAAGATCTCGAAGAACTCGATCTTACCAAAGCTGACCATTTTGAGAATCTGCAATCAACAAACTGGCAGCACATGCGCTTCAAGCCTCCGCCAGCTGGCTCAGACATGGGATGGCGCGTCGAGTTCCGGCCTATGGAGATCCAGATTACAGACTTTGAAAACGCAGCCTTCTCCATATTTATCGTCCTCCTCACCCGTGCGATACTGTCGTTTAACCTCAACTTCTACATCCCCATCACACTGGTATCGGAAAATATGGAGACAGCACACATCCGTGACGCCGTGTCAACGCAGAAGTTCTGGTTTCGCAAAGACCCTTTTCCGACGCACAAAGCCAGTAATGGCACAGGCACTTCGTCGCCTGCCGAGAATCCAAGTCGGCCAGTAACACCCACTGGGCCAGTTGAAGATGAGTATGAGAAGATGACTATCAACGAAGTCATCAATGGGCAGCAATCCTCGTCTGGCGAAGCTGGCTTCCCCGGTCTCATTCCTCTTGTAGAATCGTACCTCAACAGTATGAATGTCGACGTAGAGACTCGCTGTGATCTTGCTACATATCTCGACTTGATCCGCAAACGCGCCAACGGAACGTATTGGACAGCGGCTAAATGGATCAGGCATTTCGTCCAGTCGCATCCATCATACAACAAGGATAGTGTGGTGAATGACGAAATCACGTATGATCTTGTCAAAGCTGCTGAGCAGATCACAAAGGAAGAAGGCAGGGACGGACTGGGAAAGGAAATGTTGGGCAAAAGGCGTTGATCATGGTGAGAAAAAAACATGAAGTAGTACTCATAGATGTAAAAACTTAGCGCAGCAAATGCATCATGTACATGGTTTGCGTGCGTGTAGAAAGCACTATATAGATATATAGAAATTTTCGTTGCTCTCAAGAGCACTTTTGTGTCTTGATTTTATTCAACAAGAGGCTTCGGATGTTCGAAAAACACATTCGTTGATTAGACATTGAGATGTAGACTATTATTGGAGCGGTGCAGCAGCAAGTGGGCAGAGAGGGATGGGGTGAAAATTAGTTCTTAGCGCCTGGGATGCGTTTGGTGGCGTTTTTGGAGGAAGGTACTACTCCTAGCCGCCCCTAAGACAGATTAAGAAGCAGACTGTAGGCTGTGTGGGCACTGCATCACACCTCGGCCTTGTGCGGGGGAAGCAAACACAGCCACACACACACACCAAACATTTTTCTTTGATCTTCTGCATACAATCGAGTGTCATTCCTTCCGTGAGCCACTGGTTCCACAGCAAAGATGGTACTCGAGGCCTTTGCCGCGTTGTCACTGGCAGCCAACATTATCCAGTTTGTCGACTTTAGCGGTAAGCTGTTCACAAAAGCGCGACAGGCGCATCGTTCCGAGAATGGAGCAACCCAAGAGTATGCAGACCTTGAATCTACCTTGGAGAGACTCGAAAGTCTCAAAGAAGAGCTAGTTTCCTCAACATCTACTGTTTCTCAATCACCAGGTACTACTGGCGGGGAAAGGGAACTAGCCATCCTCGCAAAAGATTGCACCGAGCTTGCTGATGAGTTTTCCACCCTTCTCAAGAGTCTCAAAGGCCGTGGAAAAGCGGGAAAATTGGAGAGTCTATTGCAAGCGGCGCGAGTCATGCTGAAAGATAATGATATCAATCTTGCAAAATCTCGCCTGAAGGAATTCCAGACACGCGTCACTGTCTGCTTGTTGACAATACTGAGGTACATTCCGACGGCGCGCGTGCTTTGTACACAATTATTCTAATAGAGCCATCTAGGAGCAACCAATCCAACGTGACCAAAATGTTGGTGGAGCTTTCGCATCACGCTGGCCGAGAGGAAACACGCGCGAAAGATCTCTTGGCTTGGAAGGCCTCTGTGACTAAGAAACTACGTGACATACAATCGTCTTCCGACAATGCTGTGAACTACAATGACAATCTATCCTCGAAACTCAGCGAAATTGCCTCTGATCTGTCAGAATGGGCCACAACTGGAAACCGGATCGCTACCCAACATCGCATTTTAAAAAGCTTGCATTTCGAGGCCATGAACGTCCGGCACACGCAAATCCCAGAGGCCCATAGTAAAACGTTCGAATGGGCATATACATCGCGATCAATAACAGACCGCTCTTGTAAGCAATTCAAATTCGCTGAGTGGTTACGATCTGGAGACGGCCATTACTGGATTGCTGGCAAACCGGGTTCTGGAAAATCAACGCTCGTCAAATTTCTGTACGATAATCCCCGCACACTCTTGGAGCTGGAAGATTGGCGTGGGCAGAAAGAGTTGGTCACTGCAGGTTTCTTCTTCTGGAATTCTGGCACAGAAAAACAAAGATCCATAGAAGGACTGCTTCAGTCGCTTTTGTTCGAAATCCTAAGAAAATGCCCGACACTTATTCCTATCGTAGCACCACAAAGATGGCAAGAACAGTCTTTGCACCACTCAGAATTCACACCCTGGCTCCAGAGGGAGATTAAGGATACGTTTCGGCGTATTCAAGAGCAAGGCACCATATCTTCAAAGTTCTGTTTCTTTATCGACGGCCTTGATGAGTACGGCGGAGACCAATCAGATCTCATCAAAATACTTCAAGACCTTACGCTATCATCTGATATCAAGCTATGTATCTCAAGTCGGCCCTGGAACATCTTCCAAGATGCTTTCGCCCAAGATACTGAACGCAAACTCCTTTTGGAAGATCTTACAAAGCCTGATATTGAGCGGTTCGTTCGTGACAAGCTGGAGTCTAGCCCGCAGTTCATGTCGTTAATCACCAGGGATAGTCGATACGATGAACTTGTTGAAGAGATTGTGCAAAAAGCCGATGGAGTATTTCTATGGGTGTTTCTCATTGTTCGATCGCTCTTGCATGGCCTAGTAAATTGCGACCGACTCTCTGAATTACAGCGCAGGATACGTCTACTCCCATCAACACTGGAAGATTACTTTCTGCATATCCTCTCTAATATGGACGAAGCCTATTCGGAACGTGCAGCTGAGACTTTCGAAATCGCTCTCAAAGCTACCTACCCTCTATCCTTGCTTACATACTCTTACATCGATGAAGACGACCCATACTATGGAATCAATGCAGAGATCAAGGAGCTGTCGCCTCAAGAGACCATTTGCCGACTGCAAACTATGAAAAGACGCATCAACGCACGCTGCAATGGACTACTCGAGATTACGATTGACACTACCAAAGAAAATCCACCTGAGCTTTTCAAAAATGCTATCGGCGATCCAGGAGATTTGTTCATTTCAAAAAATGGGTTCAAAACGGTTGATCTTTTTCGCACATACAAGGTTGATTTTCTCCACCGGACAGTTCGTGACTTTCTCCACACTGAGGAAATTCAGAAAATGCTTAGGCAAAACAGAAAGAGCGATATTCAACCGTTATCCATGATATGCCAAGCATTACTAGCTGAAGTTAAAGCAATACCAACTGGTCGTGACTTTGGTTATCTAAGATATGCGCACCTTATCCGGCAGGCGGCTGACAACATCCTTTACTATGCGCGAGTCTCCGATGAAGAATTTCGGAACCCTGAAGTACAGACGCTGGATGAACTAGAACGTACACTGTTAGTTCTATCATCGAATCACGAGATCGAAGGAGCCATATTACCCTTGTCTGATGTTCGGGGTTTAGGGTTTCGATATGGATCCTTTTATGAACTTGTAGTTCAAGCTGGGCTCAGTAGCTACGTCTGTTACAAGTTGCGTTCATCCTCGGGAAAGCGCTCACAGCCGAGCCTCAAGCAGTTACTAGCCGTTGCAGTGATTCCATTGTTGTCAGAAGAGGGTACGGTTCACTTTCCGTCCATGTTCCGGCTCCTCACAGATGCATTAGAGGAGCAGCGAACAGAGGACTGGACTGCAGTCGCGCTACCATCTCTCTGGGTCCAATTTCTGGCGAACATACCATATAACCTGGAGATGCTGTCCAAGGGGCAAACAGAGGCCGTTTTGCAAATAATCTACATGTTTCTTGATATTGGTGCCGATCCTAACGAGCAATCCGTAGCATGGGAAAGTACGCTCCAGGATCCTGACGGGCAATGCGAAGGACATGCAGCATGGGAAAGTACGCTCCAGGAGCTCAAGGATCAAGTCGGAGAAGGACGTTTCCGCGTGAGCGGAAACGAAGTGATGGAATTCATCGAGAAGTACCGAAACATCTTCCTAGCTTACGAGTGGAATCGTATCCCGCAAAGGCCTCTGTGCAAGTGAATGCGCATGAAGATACTGAGCGTACGATACTTTCTTTGAATCAGGAGTGACAGTTCCTTTCTTTACCACCGTTCTTCGTAATCATGTAGTACAATTCATCCTTGGAATCGTTTATGTCTCTGTTCATCAAAACAGCAAAGTCTCTACTCTACTAACTCTGTATGTGTTCAACTAACCCAATTTAACCAAGACACGCAAATTGAAAGTTGAATAGGCTTATACACGACAAATCTAGCCCATCAACAGATATCCAGTAAGCTACCCTTTCTAGGAATAGGCGTCCAACTACGCATGCATCTATCCGCCAGCATTAGGACCGAAGCTAAGTAAGCCACGGCTAGGGTGTAGATCTACCGTTGATTCCTTCATTACCCCCCTCGTAAACAATAGTTAGAGGATTAATATCAATTTTCAGAGTTTTTGTAGTAGCGGGGTAACTATAAAGACTACAGATCGTTCATATTAACTCCACAACACACTGGTTGCGACTATATCAGTAATTTTCTTGGAGGAAGCGGGTGCCGCTACTATGCCTATTTCTGGTGGAGATTGCACCTCCACGATCTAGACACATAAACCACGAGCCGTCCCAACGCCACGCGGGGGCGAAGATGGCGATACCCAATCGGAGAATCACAAGCTCGATAGAGGAGAGCATGAGGCTGCATGGTAAATAGCTGAATGATGCGCTAATATAGGACTTGAGGTGGGCGGAAAAGATGAACAGAGCGATAGCGCATTTGTTCAAGCAGTCCAGTCCAAGTCCAATGCATATAAAGTCTGTAGCATTCAGGCAATGGCCGTGAATAAAGGTTGCTTTTCATATTGTTTCTGCCCAACATGCGCATCACTCATTTCGGGACCCTCTTCTCTCTCGCCCTCAGTGCGAACAGTATACCAACAGCATCCCCACCTCCAAAACCCCACGCCTACCTCCCCAAGCGCCTCATCGCCCTCGAAGAGCATGTCGTCTCCCCCTCGCTCGAAGCCGAGATCATCGCCAGCGGCCTAGCCCAGCGCAACCCCGGCGTACTCTCCAAGCTCAAAGACGTCGGAGCCGGCAGAATCGCCGCCATGGACGCCGGCCACGTCTCCCTCCAAGTCCTCGCTCAGCAATCCGCATCAGGCTCCGACGACCCATCTGGCTGCCGGTCCGCCAACGACGCCATCCGCAGCGCCATCGACGCAAACCCCAAACGCTTCGCCGGCTTCGCCGTCCTCCCCATGTCGCTCCCCGACGAAGCAGCCACAGAACTAAACCGCAGCGTCACCTCCCTCGGCTTCAAAGGCGCCATGATCTGGAACCACCTCAAAGACGGCACTTACTACGACGCCGCGCGCTTCGACCCCGTCTTCGCCATGGCACAAGCCCTCGACGTCCCTCTGTACCTGCACCCTGTATCCCCCACCGCAGACGTTGCTTCCAAGCTCTTCGCCGGCAACTATCCCGCCGCCCTTACCGGGCGTCTGGGATCAAGCTCCTGGGGCTGGCACGTCGACGTCGGAACACACGTGCTACGCCTCTTTGGCGCCGGCGTCTTCGATCGCTTTCCCAACCTCAAACTCATCATTGGGCATAACGGCGAAGGCCTACCCATGTTCATTGACCGCATCGACTCGACGGGCTTGCGCAATGACACCAAGTTTGAGACGGTGTGGAATCGGAATATCTGGAGCACGACGAGTGCGTTTTTTACGGTCCGTCAGTTTGAGCAGTTGAGGCAGGTCAGTCCTGTAGAGCGGATTATGTATTCGGTGGATTATCCGTTTAGTGAGATGACGGATGGGTGGGCGTTTGTGCAGAGGTTGGCCGAGGCGAGGGTGTTGAGTGGGGAGGAGATGGATGCGTTTGCGTTTGGGAATGCGGAGAGGCTTTTGGGGTTGTGAGGGGCGGGGGGCGTTGGGGAGAGAAGCTTTTGGATAAGCATGGGCTAGGGGGAGTTAAGAGAGGCTTGTGTTGGTGGCGTTGGTATGGCGTCTATCTGGTGACCTTGGAACACTAATGTGATTTTTGGCCCCCCCCTTTCTTTGCTGGATAAGGGAAAGAGTTCCGTGTATTCTTTTTTGGCACAATGCTTGGGGATGCTAGACCCGGTAGAATTACGGTATATTGTAGATACCTTTTCATACAAATAAAGTAAAGCACTTGAATCCACGACTCTCGAGCGTCTTAATGAACCGACAGTCATAATGTAGATATCCAGAATGCATTTTCCTGTAACAAATTTAGCTATAGTAACATACCATGGCTTTCTTGACGGACTGTGCACTTCAAGGTACATGCGCGTAGAACGAACCGAGATAATCGCATGCGCTGCCGAAAGCACGAAATGTCGCTTCATGCAAAGGCGATCTCACAGCGCCCCTATTACCACACCCAAGATTCCAAAGGGTCTGCCTATTCTCTGTTACTTTGATAATATACCGGTTTTGTGCGTAGGAGAATTCGACAAATCGTGTGCAGACACAACTTAGGCGTGACCATTACTGCAGCCCTGAAACTTGAATGCACCTGAGAATGGACTCTTGACGTTTCCTTGGTTTCTCAACAAGGAATATCTTAGGCAGTCATCACGAGGTATGGCTCACAGGCAATCAATGAATTTCAAATAGGTTTGTGTTTCTCAATACAGTGGTTTAATGCATGAAGAGAAAGACGTACTGTATTTGTCGCTTGCTTGCTGCATTGCAGAATAACCGGTATGCTGGGTTCTGCAAGAATGCCAATCATCAGGAGACTTTTGAGATTTAGGTGATCCTCGCTTTCACTCACTCTTTTCATCTCTTTGGAGCTATGATGGATATTATTTTGAGCATATTTATATGTGATATTTTTGACTTGCGTTTACAGTACAGAGTCTCTTGTAGGCGGAGGGAATATATTTGAGAAAGGGATTTGCATTTTCGATTCTCCACGACTATGAATTTTTCTTAGAGAACAAAATGATAAAGCTAACCTGATGCTGTTGATGAGTGGTATTGGAAATAACACCAATATTCGTTGTCGCAGAACAAAGACCCATGGGTCAAGGAAGGGTGTATGTATACCGTTGTTATTTCATCGATTTCAGAATTCAACGAATCATACATCATTCATCGTTAGCTGAAGCCTCCTATAATCTTGGTAATCTTTTGGAATCCAGAAAAATACACCGCCTTCGTGGTGTACAAGCCATGGATAAGTCAATCGTCTAAGAATAGGGACACCGCCTGAGATCACTCAAACGATCATTCTCCTTCTACAACGAGTACGAGTAAAAAAACTTAGTCTAGGTAATCAGGAATACTAAAGCTTAGGGATGTTACTGCCTCAACCAAATAACTGGCAACAAAAACAAAAAAAAACATACGACAGCGGGGATTCGCCAGTGGTCACCCACCTGACTACTGATCCGCCGGTCAAAGGTTTATCGTGTGGGGAGCGAACGAGACCCAGAGCGATACTTTGCCTGTGGTCGTATGTATCCGATATTGAAATAAAATTGTACATATCACAAAGTTTAGAGATATTAGAAAGGATGCTGTCTGGTACCTTGCTAAATCTTGGACATGGGAGGAAGCAAACGAGTATACTATAGGATTGATGTAATATTCGAACATCTGCGCGAATTCAATTAGTCAAGATGATCTCTTTCCATAAATGATATATATAGGGTCATATTGGATGTCGCGTGCTCAAGGTATAGTCGCTAGCTACTTGTTACAATAATGGTAGACTAAGAGCCGCACGAATGTTCCGCACGCAGGGTAACCCTCTGCATGCATACAAACAGCCTACTTTAATACAATGCTTAGCATGCAGGCTTAAAACGCATGAACTAGTATGACCAGAAAATCGGCATCATCCGACTCCATGGTTGAAGCCGTTCGGCAGACCCCCGCCCCGCCCCCGTCTAGCGCAATGCTATATGGTCCGTGCACTAAAAGTTCATCATCGCAATCATCATCACAAGCAACAAAGCTCGAGGCCCGACACCACCACCACCCATCGCCAACTCCACCCCCGCATCTATCCAACCGTCACCTTCTACTCTTTGTCTCACCAATTACACAAATAGAACTCCGTCAAAATGGTTCAGCTCACAGAAGTCACTGACGAGGAGTTTATGCGCGAGCAGGAAGGTCCCGTTGACGACGAGGACTGGGACACGGACTCGGGTACGATACCACAATCCTGCCTCTTCACAAATCCAGTTTACCCGCTTCACACCCACACCTATCAATTGCTAACCATGTCGAAACTACAGATTCCGATACTTCGTCTGTTCACTCGGTGCAGCCCGATGAGACATTTTTCGAGCGCCTTTCCGCGCTGCAAGATATGATTCCGGCCAGCACACGGCGCTCCGTCTCGTCAAAAGCAAGCACAATCTCGTCGTGGTTCAAGAGCGGCCTGAGCATGGGCGGCAAGACGCTGTGGGTCGTGAGCACCAGTGCGCTGCTGTTGGGTGTGCCGTGGGCTTTGGCGTACAGCGAGGAGCAGATGATTGTTGAGCAGGAGAGGGCTGAGTTGCAGGCACAGCGCGCGCAGAACGAGGTACGTTTTTATTTGTTGAAGGAGACAATTCTTCTTCTCAGCCAACATACTTCTGGTGTCTCATCAACCATATGTTTTGATATGCTAACCTTTTTCTCAATAGTTCATGGCTCCCGGTGCGCCACTTCCAGGACAACCGCAGGGCGCAAAGCCGGCTTTGTAAAACCAGTAAAATAAAAACAATTGTCATCTCCCCTCATTTGTCGCATTTCCGACGGATGGGCTCTTACCGGGCACAAGCGCCGACGGTTCCTTACTTGGCTTGTTACGATAGTGGGATTGGTGCATGGACGGGAATGATCATGTACATGTAGCGGAAACCGGCAATTCTTTTTCCCAGCCGTTAACGATCTGTATTATATTTCTCGACTCCACGATAATTTATTGCGTCACGTACGAATGGCTGCGAGTGAAACTCGAATGTTGAGAGTGTAGCTGCTTACAGTATTTTTGATTTTCGTTTTTGGGTGCCCCACGGCCACTATATTTACAAATACATTCACCTCGATTTCCGAAATCATCAGGCACACAAACATAAACCGCCACGGTCCGGTCTACCAAGCGCTCGTAGCCCATTCCATGTGAACATTGCGCCGTTTTACATTCGTAAGATGCTGTAGCAAAAAATGGTCACTCTATCGGCGCGCATGCAGTACTGTAACCAATCCGCAGATGGTGGGGTAGTGGTTCTACCTAGACTGCGCTCGCTCCAAGAAAGGTGGTAATACAGCAAAGAGAAGAGTCATGGTATTATAGTCGATACATGGGTGTGAGTGGGGAGGCGTTTAAAAGGGGATCGCACCGGCTGACATTGCGGCACCCTGTTGTTCTTGCTGCTCCATGACAGCCTCGTCGGCTGCTTCTATAGCGACGGCCAAACCGAGCTTGGCAGCATTCTGCGTCTTGTTAGCATTGCTCGTTGAAACTTGAATTTTGTCATGACGTACCTGCTTGTGGTCGATCTCGCCTGAAAAGGTCACGCGGATTGGTGGCGCAATCATCTTCTCCAGCAGACAAGCCACCTTGCCTTGGTTGTCGATCTGCGCCCTGAATGAAGACTGACGAAAGTCGTACTTGGCACCGATTGTGACATTTCCCTCCTTCTGTGGGCCAGCCATGGGGCCTCCAGGGCCAATACCAGCAAACGCCAGGTTGCAGTTGATACCCGTCTCGACCTTGTCTGTGAGCTTGCGCCAGTACGAGGCTTCCAATACACCACGGTCGGGGATGATCTGGCCGCAGGCCATCCAGTCTTCAGTTCTGTAGCGTGCTGCATACGAAACATTGAGTTCTGGCGGGTATGCCATGGCGGGGCGTGTCCAGAAAGCGTCAATGCCGAGTGCGAGTCTTGAGGTAACGGACTGAAGGTAGCTCGCCATGAGCATACCTGTGACACCACCGTCAAGTATCGAGGGGTTGACTGCCTTGAGGGAAGCGGAAAAATCGGCGCCCGTGTAGTCGTTTTCAAGCGAGACCATGTTACCCTGCGAAGTGAGTTGAACAGCGGCCTTGGAAACGAATGCTGACGTCCAGCGCCAGTTGAAGCGGCCGGAGAATGCGAGCTCATTGTCAATATTTCCTTGCATGAATACCTGCAAAATGTCAGCGTGCTAAAAACAATTCAGCAAGCGAGCGACGCACCCTTGGTGATCCGTAAAGAACCATGTATGAGTATGGGGGCATGACCTGCGATCCCATAGATAGCGAGTGAGCAACCTGGAAGAGCGGGGCAGCGCTGAATGCCTTTGTGAGTTCAGCGCGCAGGCCCGAAAAGCTGGAATTGTTCAGAAAGACATCGCGCTGGACCTCGCGGGCAATGTTTTCCACTGTGCCGGGGTTGCTAAGGCCCAATGCCTCTCTCCGGTCTTGAAAGGCATCGTATACGTTGAGGAATTGTGCGAATGGGCCGGTATTGGCTGCGCGAGGCCGTGAAAGGATGTCAGCGACAGCCTGTTCCTGCGCCGGGTTGCTGAGCTGCAGCGGGGTAGCCATGACGAAAGTGTGCGTCGAGGTCCAAGTAGAAGCTCCCTATCGTAATGGGAGGGCCGGCACAGGGGGGGTTGGAAATGGCAGCAGGTGGGTGAGGGGATGCTGTGATGCGTCGCGGGCGCTGGGCAGTGATGATATCGTGAACATTTTCTCAAGTTACTGATGACATAATAGGCGCTAGCCCACGCAGCGTCCCGAATCCGTTATCTTCGAGGGCTGGCTCCCCGACAGGACGGCAGTGGACATTTGCGCCTTGGGTACTTCGACTACCAAATCCTCCAAAAGAAAAAGCACTGACTGGTTCTTCTCAGACAGTCCTGCGACGTGGCCTGGTAGAATCGCTACATCGAACTGTCGCGGGTTGTCGCGCCTTGCTCGCTGACGTCGCTCGGCACACCTTTGGACTACCGGGGAACCGTGACCTTCTTGAAGCATCCATACCTTACTCACATTTCTTAACGAGCGGCTGTTTCCCTTTTATCTCACAATCCGCAGTCTTCTCCTTGCTTCAATTCTTCTCCCTGTAGACTTTACCTATTTGCAACTATGGACACCTTACTGTGAGTGCTATGACCCCACTTTCCGCGGCCATGCTCGAGCAGCAGCGCTGCACATGTCTCCGAGAGAACATTCACTCACCGTGCATAGCACCGCTGAGATATACGCAAACTCACCCCGCTTCCGGCGGCGGTCGAGTACAGCCGTCGATGCAATCCACGACCTGCCTGCCAGGGAAGAAATGGCGCCTGCCCAACTCTATAGCACAGAATCGGGCCGCCTCTTCCATTCAGGCAGGATAGTCATCGCCACCTGCGGACTCCCGGCTCGAGGAAAGACGCATACCTCAGTTGCTCTGGCCCGTTACCTGCGCTGGCTCGGGGTCAAGACTCACGTGTTTCATCTTGGCGACTACCGTCGCGCTACGCTAAGTCCGGGCATGGATGTGCCTGAAGACTACTTCTTCCTCAACGCAGCACCACAGTCCGTCTTGCTTCGGAACAAAATTTTGAAGAAATGCCGGGACGACATATATCACTTCCTGGAAAATGACAAAGGTCAAGTGGCCATTTACGACGCCGTCAACGCCATTAGCCAGGGCCGTCGGTCGTTAGCCAAGGAATTCGCAAAGAATGGGATTCAAACAATCTTTATCGAATCGCACTGCACAGACGAGCGTATCATCCAGGAAAATGTACGCCGCGTTAAGATTTCCTCACCGGATTACAAGGGCTGGAAGGACGAAGATGCAGTTCAGGACTACCTTGCACGTATCAATGCACGGATACCTCATTTCGAGACTATGGAGGAGACCGACCTACATTGGATCAAGATGATTAATGCCGGCGAGCGGGTTGTTGTAAACAATTGCGCATTTGGATACCTCTCACAGCGTATTGTCTTTTACCTGCTCAATCTCCACATCAAGTCACGGCAAACATACTTTGCACGTGCCGGAACGACCCGAGAGGAGGATTCATACAAAGCCGATGCCAATCTTTCACCAGAAGGCCACGAGTACGCGAGAAAGATGAGCGAAGTGTTGTTGAAGTACCGTGAAGAAGAAAAGCAGAAGTTAATCGAGTCCGGGGCAACAGATGCGTCTCTGAAACCACTGACCATCTGGACCTCGACCCGTCGAAGGACTGTCCAGACTTCAGAAGTTCTAGCCTCGATGGGCTACCGGGTAAGGCAGCGATCGCAGATGAGCCAGATGAACCCCGGTGTATGCGAGAAGATGTCCGAAGCCAAGATTCGAGAAGAGTTCCCCGAGGAAGTAAAGAAGCACGAAGTAGATCCATACCATCACCGATACCCCCGCGCAGAGTCCTACCACGACCTTGCCGTACGCATGGAGCCCATTATTCTCGAGCTCGAGCGCGAAGAAAACGATCTCCTGATTATCGCCCACGAATCCGTGCTTCGTGTACTTTACGGATACCTCATGGCATGCAATGCAGCAGACATTCCCAAACTCGAGTTTCCCCGTGATGAGATTATCGAGGTAGGCCTGTCATTTACGACTGCGATACCTGATTCACAGTGCTTACCATTTTCTAGATCATACCCTCATCCTACAACAATGTCGCAAAGCGCATCAAGATCCCCGACCTCCCCGAGTCAATGGTCCCCGGTAGTCCCGAAGACATCCAAATCCCCGTGCCGCCAAGTGGCACTGTAAGTCCGCTGTCTGGACTGGGAACCCCTCCTTCCAATGGCTCTGGCACTGCAACGCCCTCGCGGCCGCAATAGCAATATGATGTTTAGCTCTTGAACCCAAAGTCACGCGTTAATTCTTGTTCGTGGTGGGAGGAGGAAATCGAGAAAAAAACGGATGTGAGGCAGGCCTTGATTCGTAGAAATGGGCTATGTTCTGGCAATGATGACATGAATGGGTACTTGGCTACGGTGGCGTTGGGGGATACTCGTGTAGACCTCGTTAGACCTATGCATATTCTTTTTCAGCATTCATATTTAGTAGTATTCTTATTGAATCCTATTCTTCTACTGGCCACTTATAATTATACAGTCCATCTCAAGAGAATCTGCAAATAGGATTCTTCGGGCCTACACATTTTGACCCTCCTATTCCACTGCAGTTATTTCCCCAGCTCCAATCCCCATCGTACCGATTCCGCCAGATGCATTGATAGCAAGGCAAACAAATCCCAGGGCATAGAACCCAAATAATACCAAGCACACTAGTCATCCCAACCTCAGCTCGGATTTATCCCAGTGCTCCAACCCGCACCAAATCACCAAGAGACCTGGATGTTCGGATCACCACTCAAATCGGGACCCATCCACCTATCTCCCAGCCCAATGCCATGGAACCGCATGCCATACCGCGACCCATCGATCTGGCCCGGCGTCAACGGACGCGGATCGCACTCCAGCTCCGGCACGTCGAGGTCTAAGAGGTGTGGGATAGCACTGAGCAAAGCATCGATGTCAGCGTCGGGATCATGGATATCATCGTCAGTAGGGTCGTGGTGGTCTTTGAAGAGATCGAATTCCGGTTCGACGTCTTTTTTGGTGGAGGAACTGGTGTGAGTGGGACCTTGGACGGGGTTTTCAGCGTAGACTTCTGCGGGTGTGGGCCAGGATGTTGTGTCTTGGGGTTTGAAGCCGCGGTCATGCGAGGGGTAGCCGTGGAATACGAGGGCAGGGTCCGGCACGTAGGAGGGGCGCCGGGTAGAGAGGTAGGGTGCGTCGTCTGGGTAGATGTCGGCGGATGAGGGCTCGGGGCCTTGGTCGGAACGCTTGGTGCGGGTGGCTGCTCGCGGGCGGGTGACTCTATTGGGCGGCAGGCGGTTTGTGTGGCTCCTCTGTTGCAGGGCTTGGACGGCGGACTGGAGGTCATTAAATCGGCGGGGGTGTCTAATTGCTGAAGGACCTGCAGTCACAACTTGCGGCTCGAGGATATCCGCAAAGTTGGTACCGCGCTTTTCGGCAAAGATCTCGCGGGAGCGTTCTCCGGTAAATCCAGGAGGTGGTTGTACAGTTCTACTAGCTTGATCTTCTTCAACAATCTCGCGGGGACGCTCTCCAGCAAAACCCGGGGGTGGCTGTACAGTTCTGGTGGGCGGATCTTCCCCAATCTCCCGCTCTTGTTGCGTGCCAAAGCCATAGCTATGAAGATTCTGAGGTCCTATAGCCGTATGATCTGCGACACCCTGTGCGTTAAGGAAGCGGGCTAGAGCGTTAGCAGTAAACGGCTTACCGAGAGCTCGACCCATGAGCTTACCATGAAGATTAGTGCTAGCAGGACTTTTGAAGTCGGGGAGATTACTGGGGCGTGCCGTTGAGTCGGCACGCGCCTTTCCCTTCCCCGCTATGCCGGGGAGTCCAAGACTGGTGCTAAGCTCTTCGACTTCTGGGGCGCTGAAGCTGGGCGAATAGCGCTGTGTAGGCCAAACCCATCGTGACTGATAGGGCGTTGCGGTGTGGATGGATTCCATCGAAGTACCAGGGTTCTGTGCCGCTTGGTTTTCAGCTTGACTTAGGGCTACGCAGTGTTTGCATTAGCACTGCATGTTTGAGCGGTGCTGGGCTTGGTCTTACCATGCAGCATCTCATGGAAATCGGGAAATGACATATCCAGCTGGTCCGACTGGGTGTCTGCAAGTTGTGGGATACTCGGTCCACTGTATGCCTGGTAGTCGGGGCGCATCTCTCTGGAAGGCCGAAAGGGAGAATCTTCTATATCTAAGTCACTGGCTGATGGCATGAACCCCACGATGGAAGATAATCACCTTCGTACATTCCCGGGACGCCCAATTTTTGCGGAGGTTTCATGCAGAGAGTTAGCTTGGTATCAATGTCTGCTGCTCCAATTTTGGCCGGTGCCGGACTGAAGGTGGCTGCTTCGGGATTGAATGAGGCACGACTGCGCGAGAGTTCTGGTCGATTCTCTTCCATGCTGGCGGTATTGTCACTGGGTACCAGTTGAGGGTAAGAAGAGGGACATTCAAACGGGTGTATCAAAATTATTTTTTAAGTCCATGGTGCTGCAGTGAATGCGGCAACCAATTAGATGGCCCATTACCATTCACTTTTGTTTCCAAATTGCACAGACGGAGCTTGAGTGTTTGCTGCATATTGGCAGCAATTGGATAGGTTTGCACTGAGCAACCAGACAGGGAGATTTCTTTGTGTTCGAGGCCGTACCGTGACGATGGTAGCTTTTTACGCCGGAGTGACTGGATCTTGTATATGGGGTCATGTGGGGCCCGACGCAGAGTCTCGTGGTGAGGGTGAGGGTGAGGGTGAGGGTGATGTCCGAGGGAGGGTAGTTCTTCGAGGGCTAGTGCCGATGAGCGTGGCAAGGTTGGGCTTCGTGGTGTTGGTGCCAAGTCAGAGGCGATGTGTTGTAGTAAGTCGATCTGCCCCCACGATATCCAGGCGGCCGGGTGGGCAGGCCACAACCAATGGGCGCACGGGCAGGTGGCCATGACCGACGCGCGTGCGACTTTTTGTAGTAACAGGCCAATAGGGGGCCAGCACGATGACGCGCTTGCGCGCCTCGTTCAACAGGGCTGAATGTCCATCTCAGTTTAAAAAGTGCCGCAGTACGCACCTCCTCTGCCCTGGTCTCCATCTGGATCGCTGTTGCTGTTGTCAAGACTTTTCCTCTCTTGGTAGCTCCAATCCTTTCTTCCTGCTTTAGTTTTTGTCCGATTCCCCCTCGCCTGGCTGTGGTCCACCACATCACGCGACCCATACCTTAACCCACCAGCAATAATGCACATACGCTCCTTTACGACCCTCAACCACCAAATTCACCAACCAAACCATTGTCTCCATCATGCCGATGATGCTCACCCCAGAATACATGCCCGCCACCCTGGACAAAAAACAAACGCTTGCCGGCTCTTTTTTCGGCCACCCAATACGGACAGCTAGTAAATGTGGCCATGCAATTCACCCTTCGAGTTCGACACATGTGCCTTGGTGCCCGAGATGCGCTCTCTCCCGGGCCCGTGCAAGGTCTGACGCCGCGTTGAAGAAGCTGGCCAGCCAAGGGGGCTTGAAACCCCCCGAGCCCATGCGCAACCAGCGGTGGAACAAGGCCAGAAAGGGGTATTTCATTGCAAAGCAGCGCTTCGAGAAGACGAGGAGGGACGATCAACTCCGCTGGGAGCGGGAACAATTGTGGGACGACGCACACAGACGATCAGACCCGCGGTCAGCCCAGGCAGCAGTCCTATCCCAGAGCCCCTCGCTCTGCACCATCTGTGACTCCATGTCAGCCTCGTATCCAACTAGTGTGCCCGAGGCACAGGCTGCAGCGTACAATGTGGCTTGGTGGGAGAAGGTCGTCGCTGCCCCTATCACGTCACGGCCCCTCGATTCCACCACACCGCCACGGCCTCCGCCTCGGCCAGCAGCATGCATCACCACCACACAACACTGGCGGCCGCCAGCAAAACCACAACAAGGCAGCCCCGAACTGCTCCAAATTATCAGCAATCACCGCCACCAAATGCAGCAGCAAAACGCCCTTCGCGAAGCCTGGAACGCCCGAAACAAGACAGAAGCAGCGGTGCGCCTCAAACACGGCCTGAGCCCTGACTACGAGATTGCCGCTACCTTCTGGGACTTCCCCATGCCCGGCTTCTTCAGCTGGCGCACCTATCGCAGCATCCAGGAACAGTGCCGCATGGCGGAGCGCCGCGCTCGCGGAAACACGACGCGGCCTCGTCCTCCGCGCAGCTCGCTATCCTACTCGGAGTCGTCGGAGCAAGTGCAGGTCGAGCCGGAATTCATCGAGACGCTGAAACAGCGTGAGGAGCGCGAGGAACTGGAGCGCCAGACGGCTAAAGTCGCGGGGCAGGTCGGCTACTTGTACTTTGTTGGCGGCGGTGGTAGCGTCAATGGATTGGAAATATGGCACGATGACGTCGAGCGCAGTGACAAGAATCTCGTTGTGCGCATGCGGCGTTCGGCCTCTGATACGTCTGGTAGTGAAGATTCGCAGGATGTAGATGACGATGATGATGATGATCCGGATTGGATGGATATCGATGTCCCATAGTTAGAATAACTCTTTTTTTCTTTCTTACATTAGAGATACCTCAGGTATCAGAGAAAAGAAAGATAACAACAACAACAACAAGTACAAATAGTAAATAGCAAATAAGCTATTCTTGTCACACCAACGATTAAACCAGTCGGAAATTCGTTCAAAGAGCGAACATTGCAGGAAAAAAAATAAAAAATTCGTGTAAATGATGAAGTGGTGTCTTCCCGCTTCCACCCTTCCCCTCCCGTCCCCCCTCCTTTCCCCCTCCGCATTTTTCCTATCCTATCCAAAATACCCGCGCATTAGCCCCGGATGACGGCAAATCTCCCGCTGCCGCTAACCCCCCCCCCCTCGTTACCGCACCAGGCCGTGATCAGCGATAAGGATGTAGCCTGTCCAGAAAAAAAAAACCTGGGTTGGTAATTAAAATAAAAGTTCCATGGGGCCAGCTTAGGCCTTATCTCATGTCTTCCCAATACAGACAAGGTCGGGTGATAGGGATCTAAGTATAGTAATTTTGTATTCGAGTTTCGAATAGCATGAATAGGGAAGAGATTGAAGGGAAAGGAGGACATTGGATTTATGTAGGATAGTATAAGGACTACTAAGTAGAGAAGCAAGACTGGCCAGACAGGTCTCGGCTATGTGGGTACTTACTTACAAGACTCGATATCAAGCAAGCAAGTGGGGGTATACCACGACAACGTGACTTCAACAATCACAACTCCGTCCTCTTCCTCGCCTCATCTTCCCACTCCGCAGCCTCGACTCCCCGCTTAAGATGCACAAATTCCCCTTCCTCGTCCAACCCATCCCCATCCCCTTTACCCTTCACCTTCTTCTCTTCCGCTTCCTTCATATCCGCCTCTTTTTGCATCTGCTCATCCACCTCCTGACGCTCCACAATCTCCGCTTCTTCGCCTACTTCCCCAATCAGCGGACCTTCACTTTCTCCATACCACTCTGTGTTCTCGGTCCACTCGATAATCTTTTCCTTGGCTGTCTCGCTGAGCGTGTAGTAGCCCGGGTTATTGCGGGGGTCGAACATGGACGTGTGCGCCCATGTCTCAGCCGTAGCTTTATCGTTTACAGCAGGAATGAAGAAATTCTTGAGCTGGCCCTTGGGTAGGTTGCAAAAAGTGCGGTCTTTACCTGCGACTTTGCCTGTCCAGCCATGCTCTTTGTTTTCGCTGTTGATCGCGTGACCCAGAGTAGTATACATGTTGCAGAAGCCAAGCTCGTGTGTCGTAGTAAACTTTGCAATCTTCTCCAGTCGCTTGCGCAGTTCCTCGGGCCGGGCGAGGACACCGACGAATTCTAGGTGCGACGTCGCCCATGTCACACCCTGGCTGATCTGATCTTTCTTCATGTATGCTGCGGCACCGCCGGCTGCAATGGCTCCTGCAGCTCCTGCAAACATGGCCATTTTGCCGTAGCGCTGCCACAAAGGTGCTGATGCCGCATCCGCGCTTGGAGAGGTTGCGGGCGCAGGGAGCATCTTGCTGGTATCGACCGTGCTAGAGGCCGTGTCTTTGGCGCCCCATCCAAATGCACCAGCAAGGTTTGTGTACGCAGAATATGCCGAGCTTGCCGTATTCCAATGCTTTTCAGCGCCGTGAGCTACCACGCCCGGCGCAATGCCTAGATATGGTGTGTCAAAGGCGAGGATACCTTGTATGTATGGGAACATGAGCGTCGAGTGTTCCGACAGCGATTCAGCGCCCGTTTGCGAATTCGACTGTGAATGGATCGGCTGTTCCGAGAGAATGGATAGCAGTGTTTCTGCTGCTACAATGCCACCCATGGAATGGCCCACCAAGATGGTCCGCACCGAGGGGTCGACTGTGGGCGAGGGCGTCGAGTTGGCCACCTCGAGATCGATGATCTTATCCTGCAGCCATTCCTTGAATCTCCCTACACACTCGTGCAAGTCGCCTCGTGTCTCAAACTGGGGATACGTGATGGTGAGGATGGTGACCTTGGGCAGGGCATGCTGGAGCAGCGCCTTCACATGGCTCGGAAACGTTCTGAACGTCTCATCCCCGCCCTATTGCTCGATTTGTCAGTACATGTTTTCGGTGCGCAGTTTCACAGCCTTCAAACCGCCTAGTGCTGCAATGACGCTGCTGGTTGTTTATGCTGAGACTGGGCCTGGCCGCCACCTGATATGTCATGACGTGTTGCACGGGTCCCGCACGGGTTCGCGACGGAGAGAAGCAGACGTACCTTGAAGCCGTGGATAAAGCATAGCAATAAAGTCTTCCTCATCTTCCACGGCTGTGCTCCTGCATGGTGGGTCTAGAGGCAGCGGAAGGACAGCCGACAATACGGCGAGCGGAGCGGGAATGGGCCATTACGTCTGGGGCGCAGGTGGTGGCCACCCCCACTCGCTTACTTACAAGTACCACCTTGCATGGCGGGCAGCGACAGTTATCGCTCGCCTTACATAATCAGCGACAGTCATCAATCAGCGTCGCTCGCATTACTTAATCAGCGACAGGGTCGCCTGGGTTGGCCGGAGTATTCTATTGCCGTGGCTGAGAGTAGGACCGCAACGCATGAGCCAAGATGTCACAAATATACAAAATACGGCCTACAGAATACGGAAGAGGATGGAAACAAGGCATAAAAGAGTGTCATCTGTCAAATGACGAGTCATGAGCTGCTGTGCTTCTGTTTGATTCATCGTTGCGTATAACACTATGTCACTATAGCACGAGACCACCTGCCTCTGCCTCTGCCTCTGCCTGGGTCTGTGGCGCTGCTCTACAGCCCATTCCTGCTTTGCATCATCATACACATTCCCATTGCTTCCAATCTGCTGGCATTCCCTGCTGGCTATGGTACTGATCGATCTTTTCATCCATCGATACGGGTATATGGTACAAATCAAACATGCTAATGCCCCAAACGCCGTGTCGTGAGCCGTATATACAACGTTAGGAAATAAGAGAACAAAAAAAAGAGTGATATGCAACTATGCACAGATAATCAGGAGGAAGGCTGTCGCCAGGAGAGCTGCCGCGGCACCACCAAATATATCTTTGTGACTTGATGAGCCTGTCGCGACAACATCAAATGGTGATCCGCCACCTGAAAAGGCGTTGGACAACTGCGTGCCTGGCGCGAGCGATGGGTCGGGAGCGTTTGTGTCTTCGGGCGGGACGGCTACCGTTGTAGTTGGGGTCGATCCCGTAGCATTCGGGTCCAGAACTAGGCCGTTTGTTGAGGAAATGGAGCTGGTGGTTTGTTCGGTTTGCGTGTCGGTCGATGAACTGGATGATGTCGGTCTCGCCTCAACCGTCGAGCTGGCTGCGGTTGTCTCTGATGATGATGATGACGACGATGGTGATGTTGAAGATGATGCCCTTGTACTTGTGGATGACCTAGACGACTGTGTGCTCGTTGTTGGAGAGTCTGACTTGATGGTCGTTACAGTAACGCCAGGACACAGACTCGCGATACCCAGTCCATTCTGGAAGACGCCAATGAGACTCAGCTCGCCCACATCAACGTTGGCGCATCGCTTCTTCACACTGTCTGTGATCTGGTTGAGACCTCGTACGCAGGCAGCGCTACATGTTGCGCCTGGCTGGAAGTCTCCTGGTACACATCCGGAAATGGCGGAATAGTAGACAGTGTTGCAGGCCGAGGGGAGGTTGTCGATCCGTGGGATAAAGGCCGAGAGCGAGACGGTCTGAGCAAGGACGGTAGATGCGCAGAGCAACGCCAGTGCGGTTGAACGTAATGATAGCGATATCATTGTGAGGTTTGTTGTGGTAGGTGAAGGGACGATGTGGAGATTGGCAGGTCTGGTGTGAGGAAGCAAACGTATACGAGCAGCGATATCTGGGCGCACGCCCAGGCGTCGTTTACCGAACGCAAAATGCTGATGGAAGAACGTCTTCCGGAGAGGATCTGAGACGACTACCGTTTGAATATAGGCTATGACGTTCTTGAGACGGTGGCGCTTGTTCCTAGTCTAGTAGATAGTTTTGAAATATGTTACCAGTCCACTAGAGCCTGAGCGCTGGCGCAATGATCCGGCAACTGCGTTTTGCTGTAGACAAACTCTGTTCGAAATTTCTTGTTGGCGAACACGTCGGGGAGATGACGATGCCCGGGATTCGAGTGCTCGAACAAAGTTGGACTTGAGACGGAGCAGACGATAGCCACTCTCTTTCTTGCGAGAAAATGACAGTAAAGTATGTAGAGAGCAGCAAACCAGAATGCACAAATGAATGAACAAGCTCAAAGTTTGACCCCAGGCCTGTAAAGAGCGACTTTGTTCCCAAATGGACTGATCAGCATTGACGACGCACAGCGTCAATCAGGAATAGAAAGGAACGCGGGAAGAAGGAGAAGAAGGAAAAAAAGAGGCAGCCAGTGGCGCGAGAGGAGAACAAGAAAGGAAACCGAGGAGAGCCGCGATCTTCGTGATGTTCAGTCGTTCAATAACTCAGCTCAGGTCCAGCTGACCTGAGCCCGGACCGGCCAACAACTTAAGGCAGATCTACATAAGCCCGTCGAGATAGGCCTCGTCGCTCTAACCCCAGCTCCACCTACGCGTCTTGCATAGCAATTGGCGGAGCAGCCCCCTGGAGGAGAGACAGCAGACCCTGCAGGATTGTCGTGTACCTGAGTTGGTGTTGCAAGTGGCCAAAACCCAGTCTTCTGAAACAACGGAGTTAGCGCACGTCGTTAATAGCCAGGGCAGCGCGGCCGCTAATAGGCCGACGCAGGCACTGCAGGCGTTACAAGTCGCGAGCGCGCTTCAGGTGCAGGTACCCGCAAGCACGAAAAGAACCGTTGGTGGGAGGCTTGTGTCGAGACCAGCCTTGATTAAATGCTCGGCGGCTGCTGAAGTGGCGAGCCGTCCGCACTCATCCGTCGATTGTGCCGCTTCTGGCGCTTGCAGCCAGTCGAGGCAAGGCGCGCGGGAGAGATAGAGAGAGAGAGATAGAGAAAGATAAGCCACTCAAGCTATACTTGGCCCGAAGGGACAGAGAGACGAAATTAGACTCCGCTACTATTACTAGTCCACTATGCACTGCAGTGTCAACAAGGAAACAGAGCCCAGCCCAGCGACATTCAGCCTTAGTACCCACTAGCCCAGAGCTTAGCTCTGCCTCACACCTGCTACCACTGGTGAAGGGCCTCGATCATCCCAGGACGCCAACCGCCAAACAAACAACGACAGAGGGAGAAGATTCGACCAAAATGTTTCAACGTTTCCATATAGCCTCGACTATAGTTCTCCAGCGCATTGCGCGATCCTGAATCTCGCAACACTTCCCAGCTTTATCCCGGTGGAACGACTCTTAGTCCATGACAATGACGCTGCGGAAGCGCACCTTGCCACTTTCCATGTGCTTGACTGCGTCCTCCGCCTTATCAAATGGAAATTTCTCAATCATGCACTTGACCCCTTGACGTTCCGCAAAGTCAATCGCTTCTTCGCTGTCCAGTGCGTGTCCCGATGGCCAGCCGTGGACGGAGCGGCCCCCCAGAACCAGGCTCACAGTGTTAATCGGCACGTCACCCACAGGCGCAAGAACAAGCATCTTACCCAGTGGTCCGAGCCCGTCAACCAAAGGCCCTATAATTTGTGGATTTGGTGCTGTAACGACAATGAGGGATGCGCCCCCCATCTTCTGGAGTCCCTCTGCTGCCGACTCTTTGGACGTGTCGATGTAGTCCGTCGCTCCTAGTTGGAACGCAAAGTCCTTCTTATCACTCGAAGAAGACAGCGCCACCGTCCTGTATCCCATCTTGCGAGAATACTGTAGAGCCAAGTGCCCCAGACCTCCCAAGCCCTGAACAACCACCGTATCACCCTGCTGGATATTCATCTTGCGCATCCCGTTGAACACCGTAACACCAGCGCAGAGCAGAGGAGCGTACTCAGCGGCATCCGCATCAGCCGGAATGCGTACCGCGGCTTCGCTGCGGAGCGTACAATACTCGGCATCTAATAAACACCCTCACGTGTCAGTTCCAAAACTCTTACTCAAATAAATACGCAAATATACTGTTACATCAGCGTAGGGAAAACTCACATCCGCCATCCTTACTAACCCCATTTATATCCTTCTTCTCACATATCTGGAACAACCCCCGATTACACGCCTTGCACACACCGTCATGTCCCCCATGCCACCCTCCCCCAATCCGATCCCCCACCTTCCACCTCTTCTCTCCTTCGCCAACTGCAACCACCTTGCCAATCACCTCGTGACCCGGGATACGCGGGAAAACGTGGTCGCCAAGATGGCCTTGTTGAAGAAAAACATCAGAGTGGCAGATACCGCAAGCCTGTACTTTGATGAGGACTTCACCGGGATTCGGGGCGGAAACAGGCACGTCTTTGATGGTCCACGGCGCACCGACTTTGTCGATGACGACGGCGCGGCACGAGGTGGGGATGTCTGATGGCATTACGATTGACTTCCTCTTTACACTTTTTCTTTCTTTTACTATGAATGGATCCGAGATATGGGTTTGAGCAACAAGAAAGAATAGATGTTCAACAAGTGTCAATAGGCAAAAAAAAGACGCGACAGCCATGACAGCCGTCCCTCCCGTCTTTATCTACACCTCCCAACCACACATCCCCACTTCATGATTACATCGCTTCCTTCCACCGTACTAACCTCCACAAGCGCAGCCATCCCAATCCCCGCTAACACCCGATACCGTAGACCTCCACACTCAACCATCACAGGCCGCGCTATCAGCAAGCCTTTGCCTTGGAACATTCACCTCCCCCCCCCTCCCTCTCTATCAATGCAGGGCGTAAATTTACACATGCTTAGCCCACCATCGCCCCACACCCCGATCCCACGATACTCGCTTGCCCATGTACATCAGCTCTAAAGATGCATATCTCAGCCCCTCCCAGACAAATTCACAGCAACTGGGTGCGGGGAAAGAAGGAAAAAAACGCGCCCCAGTATGCAAAGTCAGCAGGTTGGTGTAACGTAAACGAAGAGGGGGAGTTTGTGTAGTCAGCGGCGTGCAGCAGGCGTTTAGTGCGCAATCATGCATATACATATACATGCATGCATGGTATTCTTCCTACTAACCCACCAGCTATGACATAATGTGCGGCAGAGTTTGCGGAGTTAGGCGTTGGTAGTGGGTGGTGTCGGATCTTGGTTAATGCGCAAAGGACTATGTAGATTCTTGGAAGGAGGAAGGATGGGGTGGGGGAGGGGGGGGGTATCATTTTTGTGCTATCAATCATGATGCATGAAGAAGGAAAAGGCTCGAGTTCCCTTTTGTTTGGTTCTCTTTTACCAGGCGTCAAAGTTGCCAAAGCCTGCTGTCTTGGCTTTCTTCTTAACAGGCGCCGCATCCTCCTCTTCATCTACGAAGCCTATAATCTCGTCCTCGTCTTGGTTCTGCATTTCTTGCTTTGCAGCTTGGAGGTACTTGCCTACGCCCATACCCTCTCCGCTAGTGTTGTCTACGGTGCCATCGGCGCGTATGCGCTTTCCAGTCCAGGTAGTCTTATCGTCAACGGTACCACCTTGTCGTTTGATCTCCTCAGCCTCGAGTTCCTTGTTTTCCTTATCTTTACGCTCCTTTTGCCACTCTTCAAAGGGGTCGACGAAGACGACTACGTCTAGGATTTCAATGTCATCTACGGGCTTGTCTTTCTCGCCTACTTCGGCGATTTCCATGGATCGTAGTGTCGTGTCCAGTCCTCCGACTACACGCGCGAAAATGGTGTGTTTCCGATCGAGATGCGGGACTGCTCGGTAGGTGATGAAGAACTGACTTGTGTTTGTGTTTTTGCCCTTATTTGCCATGCTTAGCACGCCTCTAGTGCTATGTCTTTCGGGTCCTTCAAATTCATCCTCAAACGGCTTGCCCCATATACTCTGTCCACCTCTTCCTGTACCTGTAGGATCTCCACCTTGTATCATGAAACCCTTGATATTTCGGTGGAAAATGGTATGGTTATAGTACCCCTTCTGCGCCAGCTTGACAAAGTTCCATACTGCGCGTGGAGCAAACTCTGGCAAAAGCTCGATATTCAGCTCACCTAGGGTAGTCGATATCCGCGCATAGCCTTTTTGTTTTACACGCTTCGGCTTGAGCATGTAATCTTCATCGGAGAGGAGGGCGCGTTCGCCTGATGTGTGCGGTGTGACGCCGGTCGATGTGAAGGATGCTGCAGCTTTACCAGAAGTGTATACTGCAGCGTTATAGGCTGGCTTTCTAGGCTCTGCATTTGTCGCGGCCGCCGAGCCATTCCGTGGGAGGTTGGCAATGGCCTTGGATGTTGTCCCGCCTTGCTCCTTGATCTTTCTGTTTTCGCGTGCTTTCGCAACGGCTTCTTTTGCCTTGAGGATCTTTGCCGCGTTGCCCAATGCATCCCTGTTCACACTGCTCTCATTCTCTGCCACTACCGTATCTCCATCCTTGACATGTTTGTATGAGCTAAAGTCTCTCGACTCGATGCTTTGTGGATCCTGTAGTGTGATGATGTCCTTGCGCGTGAACTCTTCGTCGCTGACTAGGTCCCTCCAGTTCTTTGCCTTGATGTTCAACCGCTCCACAGTATCCCAAGCAAACACATTCCCGCTCTTCTTCAGCGCAACAACGTGCGTGTTGTCTGTCAAGACCTTGTATGTGACCGGGTCTACGTATTCGCCATCTTCATTTTTCGTAAAGTGTAGTGTAATGAGATCGGCGCGCTTCAACGGCGTTCCGTCGATGGGGTTTGTGTTGGGGTGTTTCGACAACCAGGTGAGGATGTGTGTGAGGTCGAAGATTGTTCCCGATGAAGTACAGACAGGATCAGTAAAGGGCTGAAGCGAGACGGCGCAGTAGTTGAACGGCAGGCGCTTGAATGTGGAAGATAGGCCGGCAGCAGACGCTCGACTTGCGCTGTTCGCGCCGCGCGCGTTTCCAAACGAGTCGGCTGATGACCATTCCGAGTGGGTAATGTAAAGCTTGTCGGTTCCCTTCCCCATGTCGAAGATAAGTTGTCTACAGGATCAAGAATCGAGTGGTGTTGAATCGAGCGCAAAACATGGAGGCGTTGGAGAGGCGACGCGCTGCTAACTTTTGGCCGATGCATCGTCGTTAGCGCGTCTCCACATTTCCAGGGCTCTCTGCCTTGCTATGGGATAACGTCATTCCCTGGCTTTGCTAACCTCAACTTCAAATGTCAACATCAACGTGCTATAGCATTATCCTCTTTCGTAAGGTAACATGTAATCGATCCACTGGGAAGCATAAAGCACGGCATATATAGTGGGGCAGGTAGGACCTGCTCGAGCTTGGTCCCTCATGTTGAGCAAGCATGAACACATACGAGGCATGTTGACAAATTGGAAATATGATTCATCGTAACCTTGCGGCCTCGCAGCCTGCATGCTGAGATTACCTCCATATCTGACAAAATTTCATCATTACGCCTGCTTTATTCACTATTCATCATCACAAATAGGGATAGCGATATGCCTCCTCATGTCAATATGATTCGTTCTCGTCGTGTGTTGTATAAATAAAGTATATGGATCCGCATGGTCCTAGGGCTTAGCTCCTCCGTATATCCATTTTCTTCCGCCTCTTACGCTTTGCGCCTAGAGGACCGTGGTTGATTGGTGTATATGATAATATCAGAGGTGGCTGCTGTGGCTGTTGTGGCTGACTCGAAGGCTTCGGCACCTGTTAGATAGCAGGACGTTATTTAGCCGCCAGGATAACCTAGTGCCGTATGAACCACGCTTTGTGCACATTTTGGAGGATTTGGCGGAACTATGTAGCCTCAAGTAAGAAACACGTCCAGGGTTGCTGCTATTTTGATATCGATTAGGACAGCGGTAGACAGCACAGCACGCGGTGTTTACAGAATAAGAAAATATAGGGATACAATAGGCTTGTAAACATGGAAACAAAGATAACAGGGGAGCCTGAAAGAACACTAGGTTCTGGTGAATACTAAAGCGTTGGGGGCTGAGACCTGTTGGATGTTGTCTTGGACGTGGCCAACTTGGTTGGGATGGAAGATGCATCCTTGCATGTTTTGTGACATGGAATTCTGGCACCGGCCTCCACAACTCGGTGTTGTGCGTCTAAGATGATTACAGTATATGTGGCAAAATGCATGTCAAACATATAATAGGGATCGACTAAGCCGCCAAGCCGTGCGCTGGAATGATCGGTCAAAGCAGAAGTGTTGGATGGTGAGCTTCGTCACGGGCTTCTTGTCGCTAGCTGGGTATTGGGCTTGCTTAGCAAGCATCCGGCCGTCGGTAGGACTGAACCGTAGCTTTTGTAGTTAAGAATAACAACACAAACGGTTTGGATTATCCGAGAGATGTATCCATGTACATCGATGATGCAATCTTGAGTACCCATAATTGATCATCATCAACAAAGGTCGCAGTGACACGTGGAGTGTAGATAACGTGTACTTATCTGCCGCGCGCCATCATATGCCCATGACCCATGCCGTGCGACTGCACCAAAACACAGTGTCCGAGGGCGTAGTACCTGGTGTGGCAGCGAGCGCCATCGCGTGAGGGCGGCAACAATGCCATGGTGAAGGATGCAGAGATCCGGAGAGTGGTTTATTTTTATCGCCTTGCTAGCGTCCGAACGGGGCGTTCGAAAGGAATCCTGTATGCTTTCCTTCTTTCTTCAGCAACGGAACGCACAGCCCCTTGCCATGTCGCCTATTTGGTGGAGTTCGTTGGTTTGTTTTTTGGGAATAGGGCAGGGTGTGGGTCAGGAACACAGTGATAAGCTTTGTGGTCTTCAGCCACGTCAAGATTGCGTACGAAAAGGCCGTGTTAGTGTCTTGCGCTGATGATGGGTGTGGTTACAACGAGAAGTAAGCGGAAAAACGAATAAGGCGAGGCCAAAGAAAGCGCTAGTGTGTACGCTTTGAGTCTAGTGAATACATGTCCACTGGGCAGGAAGGGTCCACGGGTCTGCACAGCTTCCATTTCACTACAGCTGCACTGCAGCCATAGTGCAATTAAACATACGCCCTATTCCATTACGCTCTTCCGGATGAGTTCCATTGAAACCACAATAGCATGTTCATCAACCTTGTCTGTTCTCAATCATCCATCATGGTGCTAGAGCCAGTTGCAATCTTATCACTTGCTTTTTCCCTTCGTTAGCTCCATCATCTCTCGACAAAAGACCCGAAGCGTAAGCTCGCCATGAGAAAAACTCCCTTGGATCCCCCTTTCTCGACAATGTGGATCTCGATCGGTTCCAGGAAGCACCGCATTGCGATCACCACTGCTCGGGGCAAGCCACAAATATCCTTGCGTTTGTCTTTGGATCTGCCGAGCTCCAAAGCCCATCAGCTGGCCATGTCTTGTGAACGCCCGATTTTGTTATGATCTTTGAATAATGATGGTGTGGCTGCACGTGGTGCACTGTCTGGCTTGCTTAAAGCTTTCGTGATGCCTCTGCACTTGTGTTCGTCAGCTTGAAAGAGTTCTCCTGTGTCAATATGTTTTCTTCATCAGTCACTCGCTCATGTTTCGTACTCAACTGCTTAATTTTGGGCTCTCATGCCGCGCCATTCGCTAACTACACTACACCCAACACCACTACATCATCATATCTATCCTATCCAACTCTTACAAACCCTATTTTGGATGCCTATCCAACAGATGATCTGCTTCCTCCGAACGACAAGGAAGAAAGATGGATCAGTCCAGAGTACAGATGGATCTTTCAATATCCACTTCCCATACCCCCAGTGAAGGAATCGAAATTGTAGGATTTCCAACAGCCCGATAATGATTTAAAACTAATACAGAACAGCACGTACACCAACAACGTTACAGGCGCTATCATTGACTATTACGAAGTCGATGTCAAGGCCATCAAAAAACAAATCTACCCTGACCTCCCACCTGCCGATATGTTCTCGTATGATGGACACGTGCCAGGTCCCACTTTCAAGATGCGCAAAGGCCGAGGTAAGGCTGGCCCTTGGCCTACTCGTACTAAGCTAATATTCTATTTCAGAGGCTGTTGTGCGGTTTAACAACGTCAGTCCAACAAACTCATCTGTTCACGTGCATGGCCAATACAACCGTGCTCCTTTTGATGGATGGGCAGCAGACTATGCGCTGCCTGGCCAGTACAAAGACTACTACTACCCAAATGCACAAAATGCACGAACAATCTGGTACCATGTCAGTCAGCCCTGAATTAGTTGCTACGAAGATCGAACTAATATCCATAGGATCACACCGAACACGAAACCGGCGAGAACGTGTATTTCGGACTTAATGGTTTCTATCTCTTGAGCGATGATGAAGAGCAAGCGCTTGACCTGCCAGATGGCGAACATGATGTTCCACTTGCTATTTCTGCAAAGCAATATTCCACAAACGGATCCCTGATATACAACACCAACAACCATACCGGACTTTGGGGTGACGTGATTGAAGTGTAAGAAGATCTTTTCAAGTCATTCCATCACAACTAACCATTTTTGCAGCAATGGACAGCCTTGGCCATATCTGGAAGTAAAGCCATGCAAATACCGCTTCCGCGTGCTCGATGGTGCTGTCAGTCGTGGTAAGTCAAATTATGTAATCTGCATCATTACCAGTATGCTAATTCATAACAGCATTCGACATTAACTTCAAGGAAGACGGAAGCAACCAAACATTAAGCTTCAATGTCATTGGTTCGGATGCAGGTCTCTTCCAGCACCCAGTGGAAACCAATAGCCTTGCGCTGGCTGAAGGTGAACGTTATGAGATAATCGTCGACTTTGCCAACTACGTGGGCAAGAACATTACCATGTACAACGAGCGTGGTATGGCTGGAAACCTCGACTTTGCCGCAACTGATCGCATTATGAAATTTGTTGTCAGCGGCCCAGACGACTCCATCGTCAACGATCCTCTCCCGACTGATATGCATTACATTCCTCCGCCACCAGAGGCCAACATCACAAAGAACTTTACCTTTTCCCGCATTAATGGTTCATGGGTCATCAACGGTGTTGGTTGGGTAGACATTGAAAACCGCATTTTGACCCGACCAATCCTGGGCCAGGATGAAATCTGGGAGTTGAGGCATGGAGGTGGAAATGCTTCGCATCCGGTCCACATCCATCTCGTTGATTTCCAGATTCTTTCCCGCACTGGAGGAAGGAACGCGGTGATGCCATACGAATCAGCAGGAATGAAGGATGTTGTTTGGGTCGCTCCCGGCGAAGTGGTCAGAGTCGTGGCAAGATACGCGCCATGGAAGGGTGTCTACATGTTCCACTGCCACAACCTCGTCCATGAAGATTACGAGTAAGTTCAAGACCTTCACCTCTTGGGTATATCGAGACTAACAGCGTAAAGCATGATGGTGGCATTCAATGTGACTCAACTCGAGAAATGGGGATACGACAAAGACACCATTTTCATTGACCCCATGCAGCCCGAATTCCGCCCAAAGAACATCAACTCTGCAGACTACACGAAAGAAGCAATTTTGGAGAAATTGGATTGGTTCTACCACACGAACGCATATAACAGGACCATGGCTTGAGGAGATGGCATGTGTACATGGAGCCGCTCTCAAGTGGATGGTTGAGTAGTGGTGATGCATATTCCCGTGCCTTTGTGCACCTCAACTTAGATCATAGAACGCATTAGCACGACTCTCGCTTACTCTTTTCTGTAATTATCTATTTTTTTTCTTTGATAAAAATCACATTCTTGCAGCCTCGTGCTCGAGTCCCATCACATGTCAAGTGTTGCGACAGCCAGTGTATTGGCCTGACACTGTAGGATAATGGGCAGCAAAGCATTACTGCAGCAAGTTTCTCATGAGTAATATGACAAATTCTAGAATCTTTATCGACATCTGACAACTCGTATTCTACCCCCTGTGCTCATGTCATGGCGGGAGCGAGAGCACCCGGGGCCGAGATCCGATTAAGCCATTGATTTTTCTTCCTCTCCGTTGCTACCTTGACGCAAAATTGACTCATATCCAAATATCAAACCTGCTATTAAGCCCTCCATGACCCGTAAACATGACACTTGTGTTTGTCGCAGTTTTATGAGCTGGAATATACGCCAGCACAAACGATACCTGATGCCCAAAATAGGTTATTCTTATCAACAAAAATATGCTGTTTACTATGAAAATATCATTGCGCCCCCATCAGCGACTCAGGTTATCCCGAATTCTAACCAACAGGACGCATGCGAAACACTTGAACCTCACATCACGCCATGTAACGACCTCGTCTCACCCTCTCCCCGCTAACGTTCTTCCGCCTGGGCACCAAGAGAAAGAGACAGAAAAAAAATGTAAAACAAGACTACTGCATGAAATCTCTGTCCAACATACTCAAAAGGCCTTATTACAGGGCATGGGGAAACGGGACGACTCCATAGTATATTACGAAATGAGAAATAGAGGGATGACGGGGGCCAGGGTAGTAGACTTCCCCCCCACAGAAAACCCATATTATCCCGAGCCTTGAGCTTAAGGTCTCCACGATCTCGATAAGATAACGAGAAGAAGAGGGTGGCTGGGACCAGCGCAGGGAAAGGGGGACTGGGGGGGGGGGGTGGTCCCAGAAGGCCTGGGGGTTTATGGTGACCGTCGTCCTTCCACTTTCCATGTCCCACGATCGAGCTAGGAGCACCCCAGATCGTCGCTTCGAAAAAGCATTCCACACGAGTCGCGATGTCAAGGGTTGCCTGTTTAGGCAGGATGTTCGGGGGATCGGGGGGTTTGCCGGGAGGAAAGAAAGGGCAGAGGGTGAAGAGGGCTTGTCCATGTTTCACTTTCAACGTTTTAACTAGCAAGGGGGGGGAATGCCTTACTTAGCGTGTAGGTAAGTAAATAAGCAGCCCCCGGTAGTTACTAGTTAGTTACCGCCGTAACGAGCGAGAGAGAACGAGAGCACGCCATCATCTCTGCACAATCTAGCCCCCCTTGCGCTACTTAGGCAAAAAAGTCTAAATGAATGTGAAGGGAAAATGCAGGGTGCAAACTTGACAAGTTTGACACCGACGGACGATGTAGATCAGGGTTTGTCATGTAAACCTTACTAGCTAGCTCCGTTGGCTAGCGTACGTAGTAACCCGACTATCTTGTCTATCGCAATACCAAGGATAAAGACAGAAAAAAAGGGGTCCATCAAAGTTATCTGTCTGTGTGTATAAACTTTCGAACTACTTACTTACAAATCCACGCAGTGCAACGTGAACAAAGGTTACGCTTCCCAGCCCCATCTCCCCCCTCCAAACCAGCAATTAGCGCCATCCCGCCCTCATACTTACGCTTTGGGGCGAGTTGCGCAAATATGCTACTCGCAAACTGTGATACGGCAGCCATGAGGGTTCGCCACTTCTACTTGAAACCCTCAACAAAATCATTTACCCACCTACCCACAAATGTCATCAAAACAATCCTTTGTCCACAACAACAACCACCCTTCATCAAACAAACCCCCCCTCCCCCCCCAGAACCGCAACTACGGGATTCCAGAACCCTTCCTAAGATGACCTGCCGAGAAACCGGCACGTAGGCTACGTACGTACACAGTTAATCTCCCACGCGACACGGGCTGAAAGATGTAAGACGGGGAAAAAACGGTCCTCAAACCCACTCGTCCGTTACTCTCCCCCCTTGCAACAAAATGCAACGTCGTACGTACGTACCCGTCTACCCCCAATCTACTCTACTCGGGCTCTCCATCCTCAGGGCCCCAACCTACCTACATACGTACGTACGCAACTGTACGTATGTACGTACATCAACCACACCTTCCAATCCTCCCCACACAAACGCGCAACTGCGCGTCCTCTAATCCCAACTGTCCCTTTTACCTACACAACCGTATTAGTATTAAATCATCCGCTCACGTGACTCAACCATCCCAGCGTACTGTACCAACTGTGTGCCCATTTCCACGTGAAATGCTTCATCTGACCCACACACACACACACTAGTATAGTATAGTATGCAGGCTTAAAACTAAACCCACGAGTAATAAAAAGATAAAAGTGGGTTTCGTGCATGTCGGTCCGACTGTGAGGAGTGTGTTGATCAGTGGGATTTTCACGTGTTGTTGGCGCCCATGCCCACCCACCCACATGCTGACGGGGGAAGAGTGGAGAGGGGGGGGGGGGTAATTTCAGTCGGTTAGCGCGGCGGCGGTGGTGGTTTGTTTTTTTTTGGGGGGGGGGAGGGCGGTAGTAGCGGGATGATGGGATGATGAGGTTTGTAAGAGGGATGAGGTGTGGAAGGGGGGTGGATGCTGGGATGAGTTGGGGGCTTAACCGGTTTTTTCCTTTTTGTGGGAGTGGGTTGCTGAGGGGCGTGGAGTGATTGGGAAGTAGAAACACGTCGAGTTTTTAATGAGTTGTTCGTAGGGATGAGGAGGTAACAAAGAATACATCTGAATTGATGTGGTTATCATGAACATGTATAGTCCATGTCATCTAAGAGAGAATCTATCATCTACAGCGACAAGCGCTATTCTTCTTAGTCTTGTGAAAAGAAAAAAAAGGAAAGAAAATTAGGAACCCCCATGCGCCATACACCTATGCTATGCTGTAAAGAGATACTAGAAAAAACACATCGGGAATCAAAAGGTCAACCATCTTATTCCTCCAACACACCAGTCGCCATCATGCTCTCTTTCAGAGCCTTCTTGTACTCGCGCTCCATGCCGTGCTTGACAGCGTCAAGGACAGTGTTTACTGTGGCCTTGGGCTCGAAGCGGGGCTTGGTGCCGTCTTGGAAGACACCAGTCTTGACCAGGATCGAGTACCAGTTGGCGTCGGGGTTTTGCTCATTGTACTCATTGGTACCCCGAATGTCTGACTCTGGTGTGTCGCCCACAAAGTAGACAGTGGAAGGAGGTGAGTCAATACCGTGGGTGTCTTTGCGCCATTCCTGGAGCAGACGAGTAGCGAACTGGAAGGTGCCGATTTGTGGCTTTCCAAATGCAGTGGTCTCAAGAGTACGGCCAGTGACGGCCTTGAACATGGCTTCCAAGGAAACGCGGAGAGCACCCATACCAATGCGGGTAAGGTCGTGCGAAGCGCTCCAGACGACGTCGTTGTGGGAGAAGAAGACTGGTGGGCCTTCATCGTAGTTCTCAGACCTGGTGCCAAGACGGCCCTTCTTTGACATGAGTAGGTCAAGAATGATCTGCTGGTCCGATGCCCAATCACGTGAATCGGCGAAAACAAAAATGGCCTCAATTTCAACCTCAGCAAAGTTGCGGGTTCGGGAGTTGTTGTACTCTTCCTCTGTAAGCTTGCGGAAAGGGGTAGTATCTTGGTTGTCCTTGATGATGTCACCAGGAGTTACACTGAGCTTGTGTTAGAAACAGGTATGCGGCCGGAATAACGGACATGACTTACACATCCTTGAATCCGTAACCTTCGGCGACAATGCGGCACTTCTCGCCCTCGCCACCGACGACCAGCACAGTGCCGTACTTCTCAGCCATCTCCCTCATTGGAGTGTGTCCGCAGATGAACTGGCCAGGCGAAACTTCAATCTCTAGTTGCTTGCTCAGTTGAATGCAGCGCTCAGCTTCGGTCTTGCCGCCACCATTGGTGACGAAGATGTACGGGACTTGGATGCCATATTCATTGTCACCGTTGAGCATCTTCATGGCTTCGATGGCTTCTGGAATGGGACGGCCACCACGAATGAGAACACCGTCAATGTCTATGCATGGTTAGAACGATTGCGCTCCACATAGGACGACGGGGTCTAACGCACCAAAAGCAAAAGCATATTTGTCTGTGACGGATGTTTCAGGAGGAGTCAGATCGGGTGATCCAGGGGCGACAGCATCGAGGTGACGTCTAGCAGTCTCGAAGCCGCTGGCAATCTCCGACTGTTTGGATGGGGCCATGAGATGTTGTGGGGGAACAACAACAGTCGGGCCCATGTTGATGTTCTCGCGGGTAGCCTCAACTGCTGAGAGGCGACGCACGAAACCGCTTCCCGCTGCGGGAACTGCAAGAGGTGCTGACATGGTGTAAGGTAGGTTTGTACAAAATCTGTGCCAATCACAAAGGTTTGCTAGAAAATGCTCTCCTCTGAGAAGTGGAGTTTGGAAAATGTGGCGAGTTGATAGCAGAGGAAGTTTGGTGGTCTTTATAGCGTGTGAGCCCGATAGTCAGGTCGATTCTCCAGAAAACCCCTCAAGGAAGCGGAGAGAATAGTGGGTATGTGGATATGTGGGAATGTGGAGGTGGGTTGTAATGCTAAATGGTTGGTTTGCGCAAAGATACCGAGTGTTTTATACCAAAGACAAACAGTCAATCCAAGCTGAACCCTAGCATCGCTGGAGTGATAATCTTCATCCCTAGTGGCATGATACTCTGCACGTCTACGTCGATTCACCGGACCCTGAACATGAAAACTTCTGGTTTAGGACTTTGTCGGTGAGCATTGCGTAGAGTGATGGCGTCACCCGATCGAAACAAGCGCAAGGGACGCTTCAGCACGTCGACTTCGATGGCAATACAATATCCTAGCCGTGTGCTTCTCGACATGTGCTTGGAGATTGTGGCACGTTTCTCGATGCTGATTCGATACATACGACAGTGATGTTGCAATAATTGTGGGTATACGGCCGAAGTTGTGCGGCTGCTTGAATCCCTGGTGATCTTGGATTACATACTTTACAGCCGTCTCATGCGCGCCATGTGGCAGACGGCCGCGGTTGGTGTTGCAGCTGTGGAACGGTGTTGCAGAATTTTGAAGTTCTTCGGCGCTATGATGTCACTAATGATTAGGTTGCATGTCGCTACACCGCATGGGAGCATACATCCTCACCGGCCGGAGGTGCCCGCGAATGAAGATTCGTCAGGGACTCAGGGACTCTGAGTCGCCGTGTCAAACACTTGCCAAGTATGAGTGTGAACACGAATGAAATGCCAGCCGCCCTGGTCTTTTGGCGAGGACAAGCCGGCCTGCGTTCTCGCCAAGCTTCGGGGACTTGATGAGGCAACTTGAGGCTCAACGGAGGCTGTCTCGGCAGACATGCCAAACGTTGAACCGTCCTGTCAGGGTTTGGCGCGTCGCATCAAGGAACGGCGTCAGCATCCTCCGTATAATGCACTCGTTCGCGCTTGCGATATTATGATAGCAACAGCAACAACAGTTTGCGGTATCTTCGAAATGATGTCCGCACCATTGTCCCATCTCTTGTTCCGAGTAAAACCGCGCGCGCGCATCTACACAGCCTACACACAGTGGATCGCTAGTACCTACAGTAGGACAGGTATCCACATCCAAGGCACGAGCATGGGTCACTTGACGTAACTGTACATGACCCTATAAGCCGCCCGGTGCTTTTTGCAGAGTGGATGACGGTTGTAGGTATGCGACTTGTACGTGAAACCGGGCCAGGTCGCAATAAAGGTAGCAATGAGGCATTGCTGCAAGACAGAAGTGACGCTGGTCGTGTCAGTTCTCCCGGCCACGACAACAACGACAACGACAACAAGACCAAAGACTGCGTATGCTACCAGTAAGTGACATTGACGCAACAGTGGGGGACGCAGGATTGTCAGGCAGCCTCCCAATACGACTACGAGTGCATTTAGTGGCTGGTCATCATACATATCCCTGGCACACAAGGGCGTCTGCAAATGCCGAAAAGCCGTTTAAGACCCGAAACAATCTGCAAGAAGCAATGATCGGACGACGCCGTTGTTGAAGGTGAAGGGGATGTTCGTTGCGCTGTTGCCGCTATCACTACTAGTGTTTGGTGTTTGAATGCTGAAGAGATGGAGAAAGGACCAGCAGAGCAGAGAAGGCGGGGTGTGGTGTTGAATCCACATCTCCACGCCTCCACGCCTCCACGAGTTTCCTGGAGCGACCCCGGATTTGCAACCAGCGGGATTTAACCAGTATAGGGTCTATCTATACACCACCTTCCGCGGACTCACCGCAAGTTCTTGCACATCGGTCGACCGTCGCTAGGGCGGCGCTATGCCGTCGTAAAGTGCTTTGCTCTGCAAGCCTTGGGTATTGATTGTGCGAGACCTGCTTCACGCACCAGGTTCCCGTCGCAGGGACTCGGTTCAGCTGCCGTGCTCCACTGTTTTTGCGGAGGGACGAAGTGGGAGTGCTGATCGTTTAGGGAAAGTGGGTCCTCTGGGTTTTGGCAGTGTCGCTGTCGGCACAGTACAGCCGAGTACGTCGCGGATATGGCGTTTCACCGATTGTGGGGATAGACTGGTATGGATCGGTGCTTCGAGTGTCAAATCCTGTGTTAAATGTGAGCTCTGAGGCGGAGAGATGGATAGGTGGGGTTGCTGGTCATAGGAGAAGGAAGGAGCACCTTGCATTGAATAGGCAAGAGCAGGTCCGAACCACATGCGTTGCGATTTACATCGCTGCCCCGCGTTAAGCTCCCACATGCCCTTATCCATTTCCACATTACTAGTAAGATGTATCCTCTCAAGCCATGAATTGGACGGGCGGTTCACTGCAGCGCACTAAGAAAGCCAACTCGGGCATGCTGCAAAGGCAGAGAGCGTATTTTGCCAAGGCACGAACAAACCTTCATAACATACCTCAAACGCCTATTGCTCCCTTCTGCCCGAGTTATCTTCGCGACAACAGCAAATCGGATTCTCTAGCGTTTCCTTCATTTGAGTTGATCTCGGACCGACGTAGGGAGTGCTCTGTGACAGGTGGAGGGGAGCCAGCACACAGTGAGGATATACCTGTAGCAGACGACAAGTGGTGCGCGATCAGCAGGCATCAAGTATCTCCACATGAATCACCCAGCGGACGTGTCGCTCACCATGATGTCCAATCGGAGACCTCACCTCAAGCTCAAGAAGGTAGTTGTGGCGAGCAGATCCATGATTACTTGCGTGATGCTTAGACAGAGAAACTGACGGCAACATAGACTTAGATGGCCCGAAACGCAAGGCCCCAGACAAGAATGTGGAGATGCAACTGCTGGAGGCGAATAAGAAAAGGTTGTTAACCCAGGCAGATTGGATCGGCATCGACGCTTCAAAGCCAGTGCAACTGCAATCTGTGTCGTGCAAGCAGAAAGAGAAGATTGGCAAGCGCAGAAGAAGGAGTGGAAAATGCCGCGCGCAGAAAAGACAGTGTGTTGAGGGAGGATTCAAACCAAAAAAGCCTCATCTCGAGCACCGGTCCTTTGCTAAGCTCTTGGAAAGTCGTGCTAACCGGGACGGACCCAAGAACATAGAGATTCGCATAGGCACAGAGGCATTGGCAGATGGGCAGTCTGCTCAGGTCGAAGAGTGTGCGCAATCGGAAGCTTGTTCAAGCCCGATGCTTTTTGAGCAAGACGATTTAGTTTCCCACGTCTCAGCGACATGTGAAGATGCTCGGCACCATGGCGATGCTTCAAGTTGTGCGGAGTCTGTTGCAGGTAGAGACGGTTGCGACAAGTTGCACAAGCAACAGCTGACAACCGTGAATGTGGACGAATGCAATAGGTCAACATGCAGCTTTGGGCCCGTTGACCGTGGTCGCGATGACGAGCGCAATCTGCGTTTTGTGTTTAGGGGCCGGGCCTCTCCCATGGGTCTACGTACTCACCACGTAACGGGCAGGCAAGAGATGGATGAAACACGGCTACTCGAAGAACGAACATCGGTCTCCACATGCCAGGCCAAACATGTGCATCGGGTCACCAATGACAGCGAGGATCCAAGTGTATACGCAATCGTCGATCAAGAACCCTGGATGGCGTATCTCGCAATTTCCGACGTTTCTTCACGGGCAAACGACACGGGAATTTGTACCAAAGACAAATTGCAGCTCAATGAGAGCATTACAGGAAATGAGAGTGGGTATGACACAGGATGGTCAAAGGGCGCCGCCATTCAGGGCGAGGAGGACGAGGATAGTGAAGGTTTTAGGGCAGCGTCAAGATGCGAGTCTTTGGCTTCGTTGAGGCGGGGTACAGGGAGAGCGGCAACAGGGTATGTGCCGGAGATGAAAGGCATTTGCGCAGACCAACCAAATTGGAGCCATGTACAAACTTTGGACGAAGATGAGAAGGAGTGGCAGGCGTTTGTCTTGGGTAGCGACCAAAGTCGATCCTTGCCAAGGGTGCAGGTGGATGCACGCCGACGTTTTGCGCAGACGGTAGTAGAGTATGCGCAAAAGGCATGTTCAGAGCAGCTGCCGCTATCCGTTGCAGCAAGTTGCGCAAGCACCCCGCCACGGAATGAAGCCGAAATTCCGTAGATTTGGTTCTTGCACACGCGACAGGGGACCAGATGCAGCAGATTGAATGAATGCTACGGGCGCGGTCATGCAAGAAGGCATGTACGTAGACACAGAAGGAATTATTTGAGGAGAGATGTTGAGGAGACAAGAAGTGTTGGGGCATTGTGAGTCAATGGACCAAGGCGAGGCGGTAGGTGGGCAGTGAATGAGTGAGTGAGTGAGTGAGTGAGTGATGCATGTGTACATAGGACATGCATCCATCCATCCGCCCACTTGCCTAGCTAGGAAGCAAGGCATGTTTAGATGTGGCTTGTCCCTTAGAACGTTCAGATGCAACGTCCCGTAAAGTAAGACTCGGGCATTCGGGGCGACTCAGACAGGCATAGACGGAAGGGCGGCGAGTAAGGAGCAGAGTGTAAGTATACAGGCATTCGGGCCGGGCGGGTAGGAAGAGTGAATGGGTGGGTACTACTTAGTGTACTAGGGCTAGTAGCGGATGCGATACCCCAGTCAGCAGTGACGACGGAGGGCATCGTTGTAGATCCCAACAAGCGGTAACTAAGCAGACACAGACGTATGTATGCCTGATCATCGTTTCAGCGGGGACGTGGGATGAGGGCGGAACTAGACAAGTGGATTGGCCCGTTTTGGCCGAGGAGCAAATGGCATGTTTTGACTTTTAGAGTGGTAGGCTAGCGTAGCTGGCGACGTACCGTCGTGTTGCATGTCAGCGAATGAAGAGGGGCAGATGGCATTGTCTTTGTGTCGCTGACGCGCTACGTGAATAGGGCCCGGATGGCGTCGAGGCGTTGGAAACGTTAGCTGGGTGCATGTTGGCAGCGTTGGCGCTTCTTCGCAAGGGTGGTTTTTACGAGTGTGTGCGCAGGACGACGCATTGAGAAGGGGCGATTGAGCGAGGTGTAGACGAGGAGGGAGTGTAATACATGGCTATGCTAAGAGTTTGACGAATGCAGCAACTCGAGTATGGACAGAGGGCACGCCAAGATGGGGAGCAATGCGAACACCTGCACTCGATGCGTCAGAGTCGGGTCAATATGCATGTCGTGGGTAGCTGGTAGTATAGCAATTGTTTGAAGAGGGGAGGGGGGTGGTGGCCCGGGGCAGGCCGGGTGACGTGCGGGGCTCTATTTCTGGGTGAGCCCTATGAGTTGAGAGGGCGTGGCGACCGGGCATCCTTGTCTTGGCGCAAGTGGACTCGGACCGGGGCAAAGGATGCAAATGCCAGAGCCAAAGCCAGCGTGCCGGTGGCGGTGCCAGAGTTACAGGCGGACAGGCAGACAGGCGTACAGACAGACAGACAGAAGGGACACGGTGAAGCCCAAGGGCAGGCAATAGTCATGTGAGGCAACGGGCTGCGGCGATGATTCAGAGCAGCGTGCGGTTGGGGGGACAAAGAAACGATTGGACACCGAGGACGGAAAACAGAGAGGACAGCACACCGCCGGCCGGTCACATGGACTGGGTGAGTGGCAGGCAGTTCCGGAGGAGAGCAAGAGCAGCCAAGTCCACAATTGATGTGCGGGGGGGCGTTGTGGCATGATTGGCGCTCGGGCGTCAGGGGTAAAAAAATCCTTTGCCTTCTCGAAGCCGTCGAAAGATGACTAGCCGGGCGGGCGTCACGCGACTCGGCGACGCAACAGCGGCAGTAGCAGCTAGCAGAAAGTAACAGCACAAGCACAAGCACAAGCAGCAGAGGCAGAGGCAGATGCAGATGCAAGCCCTGCGGTGGCGTGAAGCAGCCGGGCGGGCAGGAAATTGGTGGCTCGAGGCAAACTTTGGCCATGACGACGGCGGATCCCTGGCCTCTGGTTGCGCCGTCGTTGGTGATCGAACCGTTGTGCCGGCTTCGCACTTGGCTTCACCCTGCCCGCACGCCACGTGTGAGCCTATCGAGACAGAGTAAGAGCAGTGTAGAGTAAGAAGAGGCGCGCCCACAGCCACACATGGGGCGCCCCAGCCTGGCCAACAAGCTGTTCCCATGGCACTCGTCTTTTGCGGAGTCATAGTAATCTGAGAGTATCGTGGACCAGCGCGTACAGCACAGCAGAGGCAGTCAGTCCGCTGACCGGTGTGTCAAGACACGAATGACCCACGCAGTTTGTGGCATCGTCCTTGTGTGGGGCCGTTGATGCTGCTGCTGCTGCCCTACACCGACGTATGCTGCTGCTGCTGCATACAGACCCGATATGATGATGATGTTGGTGGTGGTGGTGATGATGATGATGATGACGATGCAAGCAAGCACGCACGCACGCACAACGCCAGCCTTGCCCATGCTGCCCTCTACTCTGGTTGCCTCGGTTTCTAGCATGGGATCCCCCTCTTTGGCCGGATGTAACGGCAGCGCTACAGTGGCTATACATACTTGTACATGCATGGAAATACGTAGTAGCTGGGCGCAACTCGTCCTCGCAGCTTCCCAGCTCGCCTGTCAGCGGGAAGCGGCAGCGTGGGTGCAGGCAGGCGGCGGCGGCCATGGTCCTCCTTGGTGCACATGCATCTGCCTTGCCTCACTTATGCTCAGGCTCGCCACGAATGGCTCGAGTGAGCGGCCGGCAGGCGGGCGTGATTGGCAGCGGTGCAGCTGGCGGTGCAGCTGGCGGTGCAATGGATGCAGATGGCGGATGGCGGATGGTGGATGGGACAAGCTTGGGCTGCGTCATTGTCGACGCCGTTGCTCGGTGGGGCCTAACCAGTGTCGCGGCTCGCAGTGATTACCGCTAGCACACGAGACAAACAGGGAAGAGGCCTTTTGCAGCCCGAGTTACCATGTCTTGACGCGGACTTGGGCCCGACCGACAAGGAGGCACGGAGTCAAGGTCAAGGCATCTTGTGCCATAGCCGTGTCGTTTGCAAAGTTAGCTGAGAAAAATTCCGTCTGCGGCTTGACTGTTCCTGGCCGCCGCCTTGCTGGCCCACCGCCCTGCCGCTGCCCGCTGCCCTGCCCACGGGCCTGCCCACGGGCCTGCCCATATACATAGTAGTCCGAGTACCTCTCCTAACAGTCAGTACTTACACACACACACACACACACACACACACACACACAAAGCCAGCCCGCCCACTCCCTTAGCTCTGCTAGCATTAGTCCGCCTTGTCTGCACTACCCGCTAGAGCTAGCAGCAAAACAATTACACCCACACACGACATTACTCTACCACACAACCCCTCGACTCCTCACTCGACCACCACCACATCACCCGCCGCCCACCTGCCACCTCACACCTAACCTACTCCTCTTTCTCTCTCCATCTCTCTCCACCCCGCCCAATCCCCTCTCGGCATCCGCCGCTGCAGCTGCCCGTCCTTCTCCGCACATCATCCCACCGCGTTTTTAACGAGCCTGGTGCGCCCGCCCTGGTCTGCCGAATCGCTTGCTGCAAAAAAACCCAACCCGCCCCCCACGACTGCTCCGGAGTACTTCAGATCGCACAGTATCCATGCACCGTGCATGCAAGGCCGTCTCCCAGTAATCCCAGCTGACCTCCACCTGCACCTCGCGCAGCGCGCGCTTCCTCGTCCAAACTCGTCATAGCCAAAACGCATTCTGTCAGTCTCACGATGCGATCCAGTTCCTAGCCTGAGCTCTGCCAAAAAAAAGGACCCAGCAGGCTGTTGATCCTATCTGCTTTTATTCTCGAGTGGCGCCCGCCCGCCTTGACGCTCCTTCCACACATCCACATCCACATCCACTCACACTCTCCCGCACACACCCCCTCTTACTCCAACTCCTACTCCTACTCCTTGCACCAATTGTCCGCGCCATGAAGATTTACTAGCACGCCCCGACATCAGCCTTTTGCTCTCTCTTTCTCTCAGACATCCCACCACCATGTCACTCCTCCACGACTCCTACGCGCGCCCGCGCATGCCCTCGCCCTCGCCTAGTTACGCTCGCGCCATTAGCATTTCCGCCCGTGGCAGCCCGGCCCTTACTGCCTCTTGCCTCAATGGCTCCCTCCAGTCAACCCCAGAAGGCATGGTCCCCATCTCGTCATCGCTACCCGCCATTCCCTCCTACACACTACCAGAGTCGTTACTCCCTCCTCCCGTTCAGTCGCAGCCAACTTCCTCGCCATCGGCCATGGCGGAAGCCCTAGGCAAGGGACCAGGCCTGATTCGACGGGTTAGCCGGGGCGCCCAGGGTATCCCGCATCGCTTCCGCCGCGGCAACTCGACTGCTCAACGCGACAAGAGCTCTGGTCCCGTTATTATGCGCCGCCGCAGCGACAGCAGGACTGCCGCCGACGGCGACACAGGCATCTCCGACTTTGACGCTTTCGAGGAAGAGGAGGCTATTGAAGATCCATATGAGCCCATCCACGGCCTTGGCATCACCGGCCCTTCGCCCAGCTTCAGCTCAATACCCGACACGGCGGTCGTAGCCCCGGTACGCAACTCCCGCCTCGAACAAGGCACCGTTTTGAGGAAGATCACCAAAAAGGAAAAGAAGGAAATCAACCTGCGTCTGGACCTGGAATCCGCAAAGGTCTTCTGGGATCCCTCAAGACCCTCAAAGGCCTTTTACATTGATGATGTAAAGGAAATCCGCTCCGGCCCAGAAGCAAAGCACTATCGCGAAGAGTGCGGACTTTCAGAAAACTGGGCACCATACTGGTTCACCATTGTATACACCGACACCACACGATCAAAGGGCCGGATACGAACCATGCACCTCATCGCACCCGACGTTGGTGTCTTCAACATGTGGACTCAGACACTCGAATCCGTGTCACGTAACCGCATCGACCTCATGGCTGGCCTCATGGGCTTTGCCGACAAGAGTGCCAAGCTCGTGTGGCAACGCGCAATGAAGAAGCGGGGTGAAGGCGAAGAGTCGCTCGACTTCCCCAGCATTGTCGAGTTGTGCCGGAGCTTGCACATCAACTGCAGCGAAGCCACTCTTCGCATCTACTTCCAAAAGGCCGACAATCAGTCCACTGGAAAACTCAACCAACAACAATTTCTATCCTTTGTCAGGCGCCTAAAAGAGCGCAAGGACATCAAGACAATTTACAAGTCCCTGACATCAGGCTCCAAGATCGAAATGGACAAGGTTACCTTCTTCTCCTTTCTCCAACAAGAACAAGGTGTCGATGTCAACGCAGACCTCGAGTACTGGACCAACACATTTGAGCGCTTCGCACGTGCCACCAAGCCTCGAGCACCTGCCACACCTGTCGAGGGCGGTGACATTCCCCTGCCCCTGGCCATGAACTTTTCGGGTTTCCAGACGTTTCTCACATCTGCCGCAAACTCTATTCTCCGCCCGGTTGGTCGCCAACAAAAACTCGATCGACCATTGAACGAGTACTACATCTCCAGCTCTCACAACACATACCTCTTGGGCCGCCAGGTAGCTGGTGAATCTAGCACAGAGGCATACATTACTGCGCTTCAAAAGGGTTGCCGATGCCTTGAGATTGACTGCTGGGACGGGGCAGACAACATCCCCGTCGTCATGCACGGCCGAACTCTAACCAAGAGCATTCTCTTCCAGGACACCATCAAGGTCATCAACAAGTACGCCTTTACCGAGTCGCCATACCCCGTCATCCTATCGCTCGAGGTCCACTGCTCGCCAGTTCAACAGTCGGCCATGGTCAAGATTATGATGCAAGAGTTTGGCGACAAGCTAGTGCTTCAACCCCTGGACTTTGAGTCGCAGAGCCTGCCTAGCCCTGAGGAGCTCAAGTACCGCATACTCATCAAAGTAAAGGGTGCTGCTGGCGACGAGTTCGACACCAGGGCGCTCATCGGCGAAATCACCTCACGAAGGCAGCGCAGCTTCAGCTCACCATGGTCACGACCCGTCATCATGAATGATAATGCCATCCCAAATTCGCCCCTTCTCTCGAGCCCGCCTTCGATGAGCCCGCCGGAGCGATCGGCAACCTTTTGGGCAACCCCTCGAACTTCAAACAACACGCTACCCACCTCAACAGCTGTAAGCTCGGCAGAAGACAGCGACAGCCCCAATGCAACTGCCGCAGAAGCTGCCGAGGTGGTTGACGACCGAACCAAGTCCAAGAAAGCCAAAACAAGCAACATCACCAAGGAGCTAGGAAGCCTCGGAGTTTACACCCGCGGTGTCAAGTTTACAGACTTCGGCAGCATGGAAGCCAACACCTTCAACCATGTCTTCTCCATCAATGAACGCGCCTTCGACAAGCTTACCAAGCCTGGAGCACGTGAGAAGCACCTACTCGAAGAGCACAATATGCGCTGCCTCATGCGTGTATATCCGCACGCCTTCCGCATCAACTCGTCAAACTTCGATCCTCTCAAGTTCTGGCGTCGCGGTGTGCAGATGGCTGCGCTCAATTGGCAGACGTACGATCTTGGCCAGCAGCTGAATGAGGCCATGTTCGCTGGTGGAGACGATCGCACGGGCTACGTCCTCAAGCCGGCGGCCCTTCGCCTCGAGTCACAGACACCAGTTGTTGGTCACCGCAAGGCACCAAAGAAGCAAGTCAAGTTCACCGTGCAAATCATCTCGGCTCAACAACTACCTCGTCCACGAGGCCTCGGCCAAGAGGCCAATATCAACCCATATGTCGAGTTTGAAATGTACTGCGCTGAAGACATGGGTGCAAACGCTACGGGTATTGGCGGCCAGGACGCATCAGCCCGCAATGGTCACTCGGGTATTGGAAACCCTCTGCGCAAGCGGACCCGCATTGTTGAAGGCAACGGCTATAACCCCGAGTTCGGCAATGAAATTGACATGACAGTCACAACAAGATACCCCAGCCTCGTATTCGTACGCTGGACTGTCTGGAATTCGCTTGATGCACGGACCACGAATCACGCGCCACTTGCTACCTTTACAGCCAAATTAAGCAGCATCCAGCAAGGCTATCGTCACCTTCCTCTCTACGACAGCAACGGCGAGCAATACTTGTTCTCGACTCTCTTCTGCAAGATCAAGAAACAGGATATTGTCGATGCACCCGAAGTCTCGAGCGGCACTTCGTGCGGGTCCTCAATTGACCCTGGTAGCCCCCTCCAGGAGCCTACCAACACCAAAGCGAGCCGCAGCTTCGTCAGACGCTTGATCAGCCGTGCACCTAGTGAACGCAGGAGGCGCAAAGAAGAGCTGCACCGCACAGGAAGCGAGTCACGCGAATCTGATCTAGACCCCATTAGTCGCTCAAGCACAATGGAGCGATAGCCCAAGCTCCAGATACCGCCTCACTCTGGGTGTGCAGCTGACAGTGTCGCCACGCATATCTGTAAGCACGAGTTTCTCGGCTGCAGGTGGTGCACCATACAACTAGCAGCATGTTGTTCACCCCACATGTACTGATATTTGGCCGTGCGCCGGTTTCTTACTCTTCTAAGAAACCTGACGCCATGACATGGGCCACGGCTATGTGTCCCGCACCTTGACCCCAAATACGGATACGCGGAACAAAGCTAAGAAAATCTCGGGCAACGGCACCATGCGTATGCTCCCGCTTCCGTCAATTATCGGATATCCAACAGAATCGCAATTACTACTGCTCGGCCTAGCAAACACCGCTTTGCACAAAAAAAACAAAAAGTTATCCTTGATTCTCAGTCTGGTCCTGGGCGTCGATCGCTTTCATCCTTGCCGTGTGTATTCGATTCTAGCATATACCCTTTTTTTCGCGACAACCTTTTTATTTCTTTTCATTGTTTTTTTCCCGGGACCGGAAACATTGGCGTAGGTGAACAATCATAGGGAAACTATCATGGTTTGCCGGCGAGCAACCGTTTTTGCATCTTGGCGATATCCCCATAGACTTTTTGTTTTCGGACTTTTTTTCTTTTTTGGAAGGGCTTCATTGCTCGAGTAACCAACCTCCTGTACAAACCGCTTCTTCTTCTCGTTTCTTTTCTTCTCATTCTTCTTACCAATACTTTTTTTCCATTTTCTCTCTGTAGCCATAGTGGGCTTGACGACTTTACGATGTAGCTTATTCTGGCATAGCCTAGTTAGCAATTCTGTAGGGCAGGATTCCACATTTTTTTCTTCGTTTTCACAAGCGCTTCAACCGTTGATTCTTCGGTGCCCGCTTTTTTTCCTTCTTCAACTTTTTTTCGTCCGCGTGGTTTTTT